TTTAATTTGATTGTTCGGCTAATTTTCCCATTGCTGCAATTAAGCTTTGTTCGGCGGATCCAGCCCCGTTCCGTCTTCAGGCTCATCTTCGTGGTTAAAATATCTCGGTCGATATTTTTTAAATCACCTTTGACGCTAACTCGCGCTAATATTGCCATGCACTGCATACATGTTCTAACATTATTATCTCTTGTTTGTCCAGCACGGCATCGTTGAATGAACCCTAATATAATTTGAGAAATAATATCACGAAATCATTGGATATAACGTAATTTCTCCAATGAACTGTGCTTGTTGCAATAATATCTCGACTAATTTCTAAATTCATTATAGTTGTCGCACTCCGTCGCTATGTCAGAGTGATAACAGACGAAAATTGCCACTACAAGTAAAACAACCACAGTCTATTACCGAGTTAATTGCATCAGAAATCCGAGATTGAAGGCGACAAACTAAATTCACTACTCAATATACGTTGTAAACTTGGTTTACGAACAACCACAGTACGAATATTGAATCAATCTCCTGGTTACCAGCCCGCTGTAACCACAAATTTTCTTAAATAAACTATATACGCTCCATATCGCGTGTTAAATTTAATCAAAACGTGCTTTTGGGACTCCAATTCCACTTTGAAACAAATATTCTGAATCAAACGACAATATTCCAAGAATCTTTTCCAAAGAATTTCTGACAAATTTGTTTAACGGCATTGATAAAAGCAAACCACGCCCACGTTAGTAATATTTGTCGATGTCGTAACATGTTACAGATCCACTAAATCTACAAGAGTGTTCCGGAACTTATGTACTTAGCCAATGCAATTACAGATAACGTAATCCAATGTACTTCCGCAAAATTTTACCGCGAAGATAAAATTCCATACTGCGTTTCTATTATTAAATGATTTAGACGCGACGCTACAAGATCGAAGAAACCCAGAAATCCGAATTTCTTAAACGCGAGAAAGTCTAAGAACAATTTCTACGTTTTCTCTCATTTATCGTTCGCTCTTGGTTTCAGATAGATGGTGGTGCACTTGCAAGTAACTATCACCTACATAGCAACATCGGCCACGGGTCCCTAATTGGGACTTCCGGCGAGGGTAATTTTACGATTTACACTACGGAGAAGAGGAACTCTCTTCCTCGATCAAACACATAAATTTTGCATCAACCACTGCTCAACAACATACGAACGAAAACCTTCTGCGAAATGCCAATTCGACGATAAAGTTTCTTAAACTCGTTTATGATTCACCAGATAACATTTAGAAGAAACGCAGTCATCGAAATCTATTGTATACTTTTCGAATTATTATCTCTGCTTCCACCGATCATGTGACTCATGAATTCATTCGAATTCTCAATCGAATATACACGTGTCATTAATGATAAAAACGTTTAGTACAGGAAATATTTTAGCACAAGAAATTCAATTTTTATAATCTTTTATAGTCTTTTTAAATTTGTTTGTTTACTGTATTTTATGTTAAAATTGAACGTAGATCGGCAATTCTTTTCCCGTGGGAAAATATATTAAGCATGACTGCTTCGAAGCATTGTTTCTCAAACTGTGAATTATTGAATCTCCAGGGATCTGAAAATAGATTGGTGTGGGTTCCAGAATTCTTTAATAAAAATGGAAGAAAATATTAAGTGGATCGAAAAAAAATTCCCATAGTAATTTATCACTGTAAACTCGCCCGTCAAGAATAAAAATAACGGGGGAAACCCCCGGAAACTAAAACATTTGAGAATTCGGAACAACTAAAAACTGAAACGAAAATATTTGGTATTCGTTCTATGAATGGATCAATCGTTGTTTTTATTTGACGAAAAAAGATGAAAATTGTTTGTTACCGTTCCGTTTGTGCTACAGATTTCAAATGTTATTGGATTTTTCGCGTGCATTAAGATAGCTTCACGTTAAAAAAGAAGTTTATTATTAACTGGTGATTGATAAACTCCAAGGGGACCATTCGTATTGATTTAATATGTTCGGAATATAAATATATATTTTTTGACCGTTTTAAAATTTAAAAACGAAAGTAATAATTTAATTTTACTATCAAAAGTTGTTCACTATTACGAAAAATACGCGAAACGATAGAGTTTGAAAAACAGTGCTCCAGAACATTATTATAACAGAAGGACTCTTGTAAAGATAATGATACAGAGACAGCATTGACCTTTATTTCACTATACTAAAGCGAACAAAAGAATCTACTTGACTGATAGGAGAACTTCCTGGGACGGAAACATTCCTTTCCGTTGCTACCTAATCCTTAACGTCACGAACACTTGTAGCGAGGTATTTCAAACATTTAACGATTACATTGATATCAAGAAACAATTGATTCAATGCGACTTTTTGTTAATAATACTTTAAGAATTGCATGATCCGTGTTCGATTGTTTACAAGAACATTATTCGTGAATCTCACAAAATAGCCTCGAAGTTTTACCGATAAAATTAAATAAATTAAATATAGTAATTGAGTACAAGAAGATAAGATAATTGAATTATTCAAGGTATAATCTGAAATTGCGAGATTCAATAAGCAACAATCGAGTTCGGTAGAATCCAAGGCTCTGACTACAGCTGGAATGAAGGCAACCAAACTCGGAAGGTCGGTAATCTCGCCTTAAAAGTGTAACTGATGTAATTCGTAGTCGAGAAGGTGGCCTTGAACGACCAGCTGATATTGCTTGGTCCTTAAGTGCACCCTCGCAACAAATGGAAACACTGTTGCGAATAAAACCCGCGAGAATATCAAATTTACATACTATTTCAGATACGTGCACTGTATTTCTCAAATCAATTAAGGTACATAACACAGCTACTTGACGAGGAGAAAGAAGTTAGTATCGAACTGGAATTTTGTGTCGGATTATTACTCGGAAAGGTTTCTCGCCTTTATTTTTTTTTAATGGAACCATATACAGGGTGTTCGGCCACCCCTGGGAAAAATTTTAATGGGTGATCTAGAGGCCAAAATAAGACGAAAATCAAGAATACTAATTTGTTGATTGACGCTTCGTTAAAAAGTTATTAACGTTTAAAGTTCTGCCAGTTCTAAATTTTTTTCTAGAAAGTGGGTAGGATTTCGAGGGTAGGTCTATTCACCAAAAATTATTGTAATTAACCCCCGCAACAGAAAATAATTTTTCCAGAACGATTTGAATTTTTTTAATTTTATCGAAAAATTTCACACCTCGAATTTTTTTTCTCGAAAGTGGGTAGGATTTCAGGGGTATGTCTATTCACCAAAAATGCTTGTAATTGACCCCTGTAACTAAATATAATTTTTGTAGTATAATTTGAAATTTTTTAATTTAATTTGTTAATAACTTTTTAACGAAGCCTCAATCAAGAAATGGATATTCTTGATTTTCGTCTTATTTTGGCGCCTAGAATCTCCCATTAAAATATTTCCCAGGGGTGGCCGAACACCCTTTATTCATTACGACCAGCGTGCTGCACGATTCAAGAAACTTTTATGAAAATAAATAAAGTCGATTTTGATGAAAAATTGACTAAATATTTCCACAAATATTCGCGACAAATATTTACATCGGTCGCTGTTTCCACATCTCAATGTAAAAACAACCGAGTTGACTTCCAGTGATTTATTTACATTTACCTGTGAGTTTGCATGTATTCTAGCACTCATACCACAGTGTTGTAACGAACAAATTTTTTCAATTATCGAGTCTTAAATAAAAAAAAATTTTGTATTCGGCCTTTCCCGTTGCACCAAAATTTTGTATAAATACAAATGAAATTTTACCAGTCAATTCAGCTGTTTCTAAACTAATTAACCGTAATCGGTGATTGAAAACTAACAACCTCTGCTGTAAATAGTTTGAATAAACAAGCAACTGTGAAACACGTCATATAATATTAACAAAGGAAAACTTTCGTCATCTGCATGCTCGGAGAAACCTTTTATTAGTAAAGCGATTCGCAAAAGAGGATTAAACTTTGCCAAACAGTGCGTAGATAAGGAACTTTAATTCTGGAAGTAGGTCCTATTTTTAGAATAAAGCAAGTTACGCTATTTAATTTAAATGACCACGCTTTAGCGCGGAGAAAGCAAACTTCAGGAACTTAGCTTAAAAAAATGAAAAGTCAGCCTCGAAACACGGTTAAAAGTCTGTATATTTATGAGATCGTATAGCTGCAGGAAGAGTCGCAAATTTATTATTCGTTAATTCCATGGTAAAGAAGAGAAAATAATTATTTGCAGCAAGATAACAATGCAAAGCTCCGCACAAAAAATCACTCGGTGACACTGGTAACTGACGTTACAAATATTTGTACGAAAACACTTTCCTGCTAAATAATACGCATTTCCCGCCGTATTCTCTCCGTGCATGCAGACAAGACTACGTTAACTCGTTTCGATACAGAAGCTAGACGAAAAAATGATCTTGCATCGTATAAATTGGAAATTTCCTACAAAGGATCGAAAAACTCACAAAATACGTTGTACGGTCACCGTATCGGGTACGTTGAACCGACCGTATCAAGATAAACGAAATTTTAGATAACCTTGCTAACGACACTAACACTCGGGAAGGACGGGACGTTTGGTCTGTCCTGTATTATGGTAGGAGGGAACCGAGCACCGTGAGCGAACAACCGTTTCGTTTTAACGTAGACTAAAGAAAAACAAAGATTTTTGAAACGGAAACTGTGCACTTGCGTTTCGTTTCAGAGGCACCACAGAGAAACGCGCGAGACACGCTGGTCGTGAAAGGATGATTCACGAGACGCAGAAATGGATACACACGCATAGAGGCGCGTATACAGATACGCGGGTATGCATATGACACATCGGCCAACAGCACATTTCACGGGCCAGATGCTGAACGGTACAGGCACCCGGTACTCTCACGCGAAACACTGTCGTATCAATGAACCGATTCTAGCGGAGCGAAGCGTACGAATACACGTACGGAGCGCGGAAACGATAAAATATGTGGAAAAACTTACCGCTCTCGATATAAGGCACCAGCAACAGCAACAGCAGAAAGGGAACGTATCCGTACGTGTCACTGATCATCGTAACCATATTCTTTCTCACAGTTGGAAGCCGCTGTCCGGGTATTGGCACCACCTCGCGCGTACGTGCGAACAACAATAAACAAAACAACAACCGGACGACGCGAGGAAGTAGCGGTTTCGAACGGGTAGTCGCTAACAGTCGCAACAGGACACGAGAAACCCGATGCGACGAGAAGCGATAACGCTGGCCCGTATATACGAGAGCCTCGCGATGACGCGCGGTGATCGAAGACGAACCGATATTACGAATATATTCACCACTCAGCCTGCGTACCACCTAGATAGCATAGCACACACTCGATTCCGATTTCACTGACGTTACCTTGTAAACGCGCTCCGTTGTCCGCGCGCGCGACTTTTCGTAGCAGCCGAATCATATGCGAAGCACAAAAACCGGAGAAAAAGCGACCGACGAACTACGGCACGCGATCGACGACACGGTACACGGCACGTCTCGACTCGGGGTTGACTAGCTTACGCCATCGTTTCCCAGGAATATTACACTTTTACGCGGACGGTCCTTACCATCGACGATCCGCCCCTCGTAACCTTTTTTTCTGCTGCACGCTACTCGTCTCCTTCCCTCCTCCGATCTGTCTCCGTTCCGTATTGCTCCGTTCCTTGTTTGTCGCGTTGTCTTACGAGCGTCGTGCCCAGCTGACCGCTTCCCTTCTCACACTCTTTTACGAGACGACTCAAGATTTAGCAGACGCATCGCAGCAGTAACAAAACACACACACGACGTCGGCCAGTCGCCACCATCGCTACTGGCAGTTCTGCCACCGCAGGAGCTTCGACTTTCCTGCCATGTTCACGGTTTGCTATTCTCTCGTTCGCGAACGCGCCGCCAGATGCCGATACTTATCGCTTGGCTGTAGGGAATATGGCACCAGGATCGCCATTTCCCCTAGGTAATGCCTAGGGCGATCGAACACCATGGAGTTGGCAGCGTTGCCGCTAACGATGGCGCTGGGGAAGTGCGCGAACCGCTGGTTTTGGGTTTGCCGCTCTTGTTGAAGATGGACTCGTGTACATTTTGTAAAATAAAGTGTTCTTTGTTTAACGTCCGTATTGGACAATAAACGCAGTGTTTTTTTTTAATTGAGTCATACTTTCCTCTCGACAACGCCGCGTACATGTAGCAGGCTATGTCCCTGCATGGCTACGTAGCCATTGCTGTCCCCAGGATCGGTTCAAAGCCACGCGACGCCCTGGACAATATTAATTTCAGCTGATCCTCGAATTGATTGCTTGATCACTTTGCAAGTACTTCTGTAATTAAATGAAATACTTTTTTAATCTACGATCGTGAACTCATAATTTGTAACCGTTCAATAAAGTATTACATTACTTTTTATTAGAATTTATGTTCTGTAATCATAATCACTGGTTTGATTGCACAGTAACTATAATCATTAGTCATTGATAAAATTATGTATCCAACTCTGTCCCATATTAAGACTGTCACTTTTTCTTGTTCTTGTACTAAAAATAAAGTAACTTATTTAGCGCCAACTTTGGCGCCCAAAACCGGTGCCTACTCGACTTATGGCTAGAGGCGACCCTGGCTATCCTGTAACGAAATAATGTGACGTCATTTAGTGACATCACAATGGTTCAATCATCGGCACAGCAAGTCGATCTTAAAAATCATAAAATATACATTTTGATTAGATATAAATTTTGTATATGCATTTGATATTAATGTAAATGTCCTATGGTACGTGTTTGCTATTATGTTACAATGTCCTGGAATGATATAAACTCTGTATAAAATAATTCAGTATAAAGCATTTATAAAATATAATATAGAAAATTATAGTTCCGATAATTTTATCATATTTGTTATACATTACTATATATCCTATTTTCTGATTTTATTTTGATAAATTGTAAGTCGAAATTTATCGCTAAAGGGTGTTTGGAAATGCTCAGAATACAATATTTGTACATTAATAAATCGAAGATAAAATATATTATTTAACAAGAATGTTGCGCGATAAATTGTTTAATTTCTATTTTGCTAGTGTTTTAAAAGAAATATTAAATTGAGAAAAATCGCTTAAAAAGATACACCTAAGAGTCTCATAGGGAATTTCAGGTTACATAGGTTATTGTCCCTTTGGGCGCACGAAACCCGGGAGTTTTCAAATTTAACCATGGATTAAATTTTTATATTACGGAATTAATTATCGTAAAAATATTATTAACAGTTACAAATAAACTAAATGCACGGAAAACGGAAACAAATAATTTACAGTTCCACATTTTGGTTCTTCAAATTCACCTACAACTATATTATAAAATCTATAATGACAAAATTAACCTCTTGTTAACTGAACAAAGTAAGGAACACGGGCATACTTCTATATAACAAAACTTACCATCTTTTTATTATTATTAGATGCAGATTAAAATCTATGTAACTTAATTCTTTATTGGTAATACCATTCTTAAAGAATGAAATCTATCTGATGGGTTCAATTACATACATATGTCAAAATGCATGCTCCCCACAATTCGGTAGAGACAATGTTAACGAATCACTCCACAAATATAGAACAAAATGCAAAAACTATATTACGAAAGAACGAAGACAAGGTCAATTTCAAACACGCACAAAACCGAGATTCGTCTCCACACAATTTAAGTAAGTTTAACCCTAAGAAGACTGATAATGTGCCCAAAACCGTCATGTTAATGACTAATTGTTATGGACTATGGTATTTAACGAGCACACTTACGTTATCCATTGCTATCTTTAAAAATCAAGTTTCATACTTTTAAGATTCGGTGACTGGTGGGCTCAGCAAACCTTTCTCCTCTAGTCTTTCTAGGGTTAATGAATCGGAGATAATTGTGGTCTTTCAATTTCAATCAAATACTAATTGCAGTTTATGACAGTGCAGTCAACCGATGAAAAAGGACAAGAAAGAAAAAAGCGAAAATTAGTCACGAATTCTACTTCGTGTTCTTCGATGCTACAGAGATATGATAACGTTCTAAAAAGATGTTTTCGATGGTGCACTAAATGTTGCAGAAAACAGAAACCAAAGAGAGCCGGAAAATTAAAGAAAACTTTATGGAAACGCCTGAAAGAAAAACGTGAAAAATGCAGAAGTAAAAAACGAAGAATATACGCTTCGGCTGCTCAAAGCAGTACCACGACAGCTGGATACACGGAGTCGGAAGAAATTAGGGAAAGAAAACGTAGGAGAGATAGAAAAGCTGCTAAATTCGATGATTCGACTGTTGACCCACGCCCGTTCGACGATGAAAAAGTCATTACAGATCACGGTTTGGAAAAAGATTTCGTCGATTTCACAAAAAGCTGTTGCTATCTGTGCGCAAAAAATACGATGGCTATTGCGGCGGCGATTTCTAACAAAGTGGGCAAATCTAATATATCGATTCAGGCTTCTACTCATTTCGTGGAAAAATCTACGTCCGTTAAAAATGGCGGTCCAGGGACGCGTGTCAGAACGGTGCAATCGTCCGTTAAAGTGAAAATGCGCGACATGAGTACGCTGTATCCGGAGAGAAAGAAGCCCAAGAGAACGAAAGGAAAATTCAAACTTAAGAAGTTAAATATTTTTCCGATTCTGAAAGCCCCAAAAGCGAAGCAACCAAAAGTACGAACCGTTGCTTGCGAAACAGACAAATCGTCGAGACGCAATAATGTACCACAGTGTAGAGCAAGGCGCGGAACTTACTGCGTAAGGGAAGATAAGTGATTATTTGTAATAGTCGGTCAAAGTTCTGTGATTATTCGAGAGGAAATTGCGAAGTGACTGACCATCTTTGTTCCGATGTTACAAAGAAAATACATATACGACACTTTGATGAACACTTTAGATTTTCGTAAGTGATCGATTGTTTCTGCACAGTATTATAAAACTTGGAACGTATTTACCAAATAGTATAACTATACTTCCTGTTTTTTAATACCTTAGGGGAACGAGTTACGGCAATGCCTTTTTATTTGTGCCACAGAATTAAAAAATAATAAAATACATTGTATATGTATACAATAAATACAGATTTTCGAAGTTACTTCTCACCGAAAACTGCATTAACAAGATATTTTTTATCCCTACAACTGTTTAATATACAAATTTCATTTTTGTTTTTCATTTCATGTTTTTATATTCGCCAATTTACCTCGAATGCAAGGTGTGCGTTCCTTTTACTCTGAAGTCTGATGAGCGTAGATCATTACCGTCGGGATCAATAAGTTTTAACGTGATTGGCATTAGAAGTTTATCCATTAAATCCTGATATCGATTGTTACTGTCTCGTATGATTCAACTCCCGGAAAATTAATGGGATGTTATAATTACGTCACCAATTAACATCGTTTCACAGTAATTAATATTGCTTGTGTGTCATTTCGCACTGTTATATAGGGTGTTTCTGAATTGATGGTGTAACCCAAATAAAGAGTGAATCCACATAAAAAAAATAAATCGAGAACGTAATATTATATAATATCTAAAAAACATTTTTTTTTTTAAATACTACGATGATCGTTATCTTATAAATTTTGCAAAATACGTTACGTTACATTTCTCGTAGACGATTTGTCGAAAGCGACTGCCGTGACATCGAAGCGTTTGTAACCCATGTTCCACAAGTGTTTGCTCGGCTCTTTAGATGACTCTTCTATCAGGATGTCAACGATTTGAAATACTGATCGATTACTATACGTAAGCGTATCGACAGAATGACAAAGACTGAAGGTCTGAATTGGAAACGATGCACGCGTACTCGTCGAATTTTCCATATCCATTTATTCCGAAATGAAGCTCCGCGCGAATATATGTCACTTCAAATTTTCAATTTATTTTTTTTTATGCGCGTGTGGATTCATCACTTTTCGGACTGCACTATCGACCTCTATATCCTCGGTTCGCGCGTGTGTGTGCAGGAAGTTCGTTTCCTGGCGGTTAAGGGACCATGATCGGACTGATACGATACGTATCGATGATGCTCGAGCAATTCGATACTAAAACACAAAGTGGGAAGTATCGGTGAAAGGTATCAAAACCTAATGTAGTCGGTATCAATGTTCGACACCGATACTTCTGAAACGAATACTAATCGACACCTCTAGGCATAGTTGCCTTAACAATGGAACCGATGTCGAATAGTACCAAGTAAGTATCGGTACGTCAATGATTGATACTTAATCGTTCGATCGTATAATACACAATTTAAATCGAACTGTTTAATACTCAGATAAAAACATTGACGCGTACCAATTACAATATGTACGAGCACTCTTGTCCTTCAATTAGTTCGGAGATTCTAGTTTCAATATTTAAATTTCTAAAGAGCCGTTCGATTCACGATTTTTATCTCGTTTTTTAGACTTAACTCTCTCTTGGGACCTATCTACCAAAACAATAAATATTCATTGCACAAATCTGTATTTGTCATCGTCGCAATTTATGTACACGTTGCTCTCGTCTCGTTACAATACATCCCGTACATTTCCGGTGAATTAACATTCAACGTTTTACACGATTATTCGTCTAATGAGAATCATTTAAGTAAACGTACATGATTATGGGTTCGTTAGAAAATCGTAGATTCGTAATATAGTGATTCAACGGTCGGTTGAGTAGTGCGAATCGATATGAGTTCAGGCGGTATCCGGAGAGGATACCATAGACCGCGACGGTATCGTCGCCGCGTTCACGTTAGCGTCATCTGACGCAGGATTGCCAAACACGAGGGGTGTGGTGTAGTATGGCAACAGAGGGTACTGCGTCGGTGGAAAATACGTGGGTGGAAACAGCCCTTGCCTCTGAGCGATTTTCAACCTGGACGTCAGCTGCTTCTTCCACTTGGTGCGACGATTTTGGAACCACGTTTTGATCTGCACTTCCGTCAAATTCAGGGACTTCGACAGCTCCATTCGTTTGCTCACGCTCAAGTATTTGTCGATCTGAAGCGAGAATTCACGAGTGCAATAAATGATTATGATACTGACAATATAAATTCTTAGACCTTTAAATTCTCAATAACACTTTTGCTTTATTATTTTTTTTTTCTTTTTGGTGGTCTCTTCAGGCAGTCTCCACGTGGCTCGTTTTGACGTTTCGTATCTGTTATCGTATCTCTATTAATATTACGAACGACCACTTTATACTAAAACAATTAATGAACTTTTATTTGCAACAACCTGATAAGAAGATGTTTGCTCTGAAAACGATAAATAAATAATTTTTTGACTCGTTTATCGAACGTACCTTGAATTCCGCCTCGAGCCTTTCTAATTGTTTAGCGCTATAAGCTTGGCGCGGTTTCCGATCGATCCCCGGTTTTCTGGACCGCCTTCCACTCGGTTTGGGAGCTGCGCAAATTAATACTTTACAGAAATGGATTACGGGGAGAAAAGGATCTGACGATAAACTAACAAATTTCAGGAAAATAAAATATTAATTGCACGGCAAGTTTGACGGGTTGACAGCTCCTATCGCGACAGACCTTCTCGAAGATTTACGACCGCGATAATAAAAATTTAACATTATAATCATGCGTCTTAATTGTTCGGCTAACTTCGTCAGCTTGTACTCAATTACCACTTTCTCTGGTGCGGTCTACTCATTGGACAGCGTCTAGAGTTACCAAGCGTGTCTAAAACATGCGGGATTGTTTGAGGAACGTGTGACATCTTACAGTCAATACAAGGCAGAATGTGGCAAAGAGCTGGACAAACAGTTTATACCGAGGAACGTTTGGCTGCGATTATCATTATGGTGCAAAGAAGTTCCACACATTTCCGTTCAAGGGGTTATATGAGGTATTATACCGTTGTTAGTCACATTTAGATAATATGACACGCCGATCTGGCACGTACAAAAAATTAGATAAAGAAATATCCAGAAATTATTGCACATTTGTGATTGAAAGAATTTCTTAATATTAATCTAACGCGATCGAACAATTTGTGTAATTCAAATACATATCTCATTTACGGTTCTTGAATAGAATAACTTAGAATTCTTTTTCTGACGTGAAAAAAGTTTATAAATACCGTGGAAGGATAAGAAAGTTGAAGAAACTCAGAAACAAATACAAACATGTAAAACTTGATGCAAAATTCCTGTTCACTCTTTTATGTGATATATTTCTAATTATTTTAGCAACATTTCACAGACTGGTTACTCCTGTCTATCGTGAAACTGAAAATTGTGACGATTCCACGTCAAAATAGGAATTTTTCCCTTTGTTTAATGTTCAGTTAGCTACTCGGCCCTTATGCTCTAAGCCAACAAATAGATGTCGCCTGTTTGCATAAGACCTTTTGCGTTTTTTCGTAGAACTTTCGAGTACAATTAGGACTGCGACGAACGGAAACACTTTCCGGCGTAAAATTCTTTGCTATAAATTCCTTCGTCACATTATTCCTGCAAATATTTCTTCTACGTTAAATATACAAGCGTACCTACTTTTCTCGTATGGAGTATTATTGACAATTTTCATTACACTAATTAAAAATGGATACTTGCTCAAATACGAAGGAACATTTTTATAATGGAACAACAACCAAAGAAGAAACGATAGAAAAATAATTAATTTCTATTTCGTGTCGACTATTAATAGTACGAAATACGTTTCTCGATTACGGCGGGATAACTAATTTAGCGGAATTAAATGTTTCAATTTTATTTTAAAATAAAATTAGATTTTTATTAAGCCTCTACAGTTATACTATTTAAATTTAGTACAGCTACGTGCACTGATCGATTCCTCGACGTTCATACGAATCGACCGGTACAAATTCGTTGTGCGAATTGATTATGTTTTCCAGAAAACGAGAAAGACTACTGGCCAAAAAAGAACCACGGTGACGAAGAACGAAAACCGGCGGAGCCAAGATTTACGAGTGTACGGAGACATTTAACACATCTCCGGAAGGTGGTTAGAGTAACGTCGCTGATAAATGGGCTCCTAACAGCATGGCGGATAGTAGCGAAAGAAACGAAACAACAATGGCGGATTGAAATCTCCGACAAAAATTATTCACAGCTCCGCTGTCGTCGTTCCTACAAATTCATAATTTATCGTCGTAACTATAATGACATTTATTTAATTTGAATGTCGTTACAAGTCACACGACCAAAAATAAAACATAATTTCAGTGACGTTTCGATCGAACGTTAGCCCCGATTACACAGTTAAAACACATTTAACTGTATTTCAAAATGACTGAAATTACGAAGTATTTAATAAATAATTGTCATTAATCGTGTTATTCTTGTTTATAATACTAATTATAACCTGTGCAAGCTGAGGCATTGCTATTAAAAAGACATGGTCGATACGAGCAGCGTTAAAAGCGGTTGAATTATCGGTTGTATGGGATTAAAACCGTTTGACATCCGAAGAACTAATTATTTTATATACCCGGTTGGTAACGCACCAAAATCGGGGGGGGATTCAACACCCCAAGCTGTTAATGTGACGATCGCGTGTCGAAAAGCTGTTACCGCAGACGCCTCGAGTAATGTCCAATATTCCCTGGAGCCAAGAAAGAACACGCCGATTTCGCTCTTCCCGGCATTGTTCGCGAAAATGGAATTACGACGATAAGTTATTGCGAGCGGATAATTAGAGTCTTTTGTCGTGGCGAAACGAAAATACCCGACTACGATGATATTTCAAGGCGGACGCGAGAAGTCCCGACATCGATATTCGCTAAAATGCAAACAGGTAAACCGTACCGCTAAAAAATCTTCTATTCGACGTTAATTGCTTACCCAGTCATACGCAAACATTACAAACGTTTGTCGCCAAAGCTCAACAACACTTCCCAATTTAATTACATATTTCCACGTTGATCGAAAAATAAATCGCACGTCAAGTTTTCTCTTGTATTTCTGTTTCAATTAATGTTTCTATCGACAAAATAAAAAAAGACTCACATTTTTAACGAAAGGTTAATATCAGTGAACTCACCTTGCAATCCGAATAATTGACCAGGTTTCGTTTGAGCGAACCAACTGTTGTATAAAAGGGATGCTGAAGCAAAAGATGTCGCCGAGTATCCGGACGGGTCTGAAAATGTAACTTCGGAGTACGATAATCCTGCTGGTGCGTATAATCCGACACCCATGTCTGTAAAATAATAAAACTAATGGTCTTTTACAGATATTACATTAAGAAGATGCAATCATTGCATCCTGATTTCATGTACGAAACTGGCGAATCTAATTCTGTGTTATACTGTAGTATTTCGACTGAAAAAAGTAGCTATTATTTAGAAAATATTGGGAATAGATATATGGGAAACTGGAAAATTCTTATACGACACTTTATACATCAAAATCTTCACTGAATCAGAATAGAGATACTAATCTACTAATAAACTAAGAGATAGTAATCTAACTAGAGATACTATTAAATTTTAATAAAACCTTATGAAAGACTACTATAGTGTCTAGAAGCTTATCGGTTAAATATAATGTTTTTCGCTGAATATAAAATTTACAGAGACGATTCTAAAACGTAAGAATTCCTATATTTAAATTAAAATACTATATTTCACTTTTTATTATTCCATCCGTCTAATTTACTGAAAAGGACCAAAATGACGACAACGTAATGCTCAATCGCGAAGCTTCCAACGCCAATTAGAATTGCTTTTCACAATTTTTTTACGAGCAATCAACTATTACAATCGTTATTAAACCCCCTTACTATTGAAAGGTATGTCTTTGTATCATAAATTGTACCCGAATGCGTGGCTGGTATAGCTGTGGGCTTGATAAACCGACTTTCATCCATCTTCTCGTCCCTATCATCCTGCTCGTCGTCCCTATCTTCGTAATTATTTAAACTGGAAGACACTTCCGTGTCACGTTCCTCGTGTCTTCCGAGAATATTATCAATCGTGAATGCACTGGATACAGCGATCGGCGATGAATTCTTCTTTTCGGTTTGCTTCCTGTGAATTTCTCTGCAACTTTCGCTACTGGATTCGGACGTGTATTCCATCATGTCCTGGTGGCTGCCCGAAAACTTCGAGAACCGTTCACGATCTTCTCTCGTTCGATCGTAAGTGTCATCGACGACGCGAATTTCGTTAATATCCTGTTGCACGGGTGTTCGAAGATCGTAGATCTCGTCGCTGATCTTATGATTTTGATACAGCTCCATCGCTGACAATGTCATTGGATCTCGTTGCTCAAACGTTCAAAAATTCAAGCTTTACGAATGCACTTTCAATTCTTAATTAACGCTCACTTTACGATCACTGTCCAACGTTTATTCTACATCGCGCACTTCTAACTTAGGTGAGATGGTCTCTCGTCCAAAACAACGATTTCAATTAAACGCACCGATACCGTCCATTTTTCGTCACTTCTCCGAGCAGCTGCGATTTTGTTGCATCTTTTGTCGAATATCGAAGCACGTGTAATGTTCAAACGATCGTTGGAACTCTCTCGCCAATCTCTGCTGGCATTTCGAACCTAATCTCCGACTAATCACCCTCTCAGCCTTCCGAAACCAAGTACGTTCAAATGTATGACAGGTGGCACGTGTCCGTGGTCCAGAAGGACCTCCCAACATCCCCACCAACAGTTCGTGAGGGAAGGTCATCCTACGATGCTGGAAGAACATCTCGGGCCAAGGATCCCCACTCGTTTCTGTTACCTGATCGGAGTAGGGGTCAAAAGCTTATTCACACTGGTTTAACGTTACTTTACTATCATACGCGCGATAAATCGATAGAGTGCCTACTCTCGTCTTAAACATTTTCAGGTGGGCTTCCTTCGCTTCGTATAACGTTTGAACGACTAAAACCACGTTTTATTCCCGTCGTTCAGGCTTTTCGCGTCACCGGAAACGCAGCAAGACGACCGTGTTCCTAAACAAACTTCGATTCAGGGTACATTATGGTCGATGTTGCCAATTTTACTTCGAAACGATGATTCTTACGTTATTTGACAAACTACTTGTAATTTTTATAATTCTTCTCTCATATATCATTTACATTATTTATATTACTTCTGAAGAGGACTCTAGTAATAATTCAGATCTGCACGTTGAAAATATTTTAACGAAATTTAATGGTAAGTTCGATCTTTACCAACGGTGAACGTTATTTAAAAATTGTGTAAAATCGTGTGGAAACAGAATGCTATCGTCGATGCGCTATTTTATATTGCGCCATTGTTGCGTAGCTCCGTTTTATCGAATTATTATTGTCGTTCTCGTAGCAGTAAGGACATTTCTGAGAACGTAGTCGTTTAATGTCATGATGTGCGCAGTAGCAAACTTCATCCGCCGAAAAAGAGTTCATCAGGGATCAGAAAGCAGAGCTCCAATTGGCTCCGAGGAGCGCATGCTCTCCCGAAGAGTCCGCCTTCTTCGACCCCCTATTTCAGGGCTTTATGTCAGCAAACTAATGGTTCCTTCTCTATCACATATATACATATACATATACTCAAGCAATGGATAAACGCTTCTGCCATACGGAGAACGCCGTGAAAAAGTATCGCAAAATACTTCTTCACGCGTTTACTAAACTTCGTCCAGTGGTTCTCACGCCACAGGGTTTGAACATTTTATAAACAATTTTTAATACTAGCAAAAAGTGCTCAAGTCGATGAGGTTCCTTTTAGAAACGAGTATGAATTATTTTAAAATGTATTCCTGTACTCGAAACGACTGTAAGCAGTTTTTAAAAACACTAGCTTGTTTGGGAAAATACATTAAAAATGATTCATTTTTTGCATGTTTGAATTACAATGTCCCTTTCGAACTTGCAATGTGAAAGAAGCATGTACGCTAGAATAGATTCTAATTTTAGATAAAAATGCGATACCTGGGATCTTCCACGTGTCGTCTACGACGATATTATTTCCTTTTACCGGGCTGCAAGTGCCCGACATTCCCGTGAGTATCGTAGGTTACCAAACAGATCAACTCAATCTCAATGTTCGTTTTCACGGACCAAAAATCCATTCTGCTCCATGCTGCTAAAAGGATCAATGGCGATTGTGAGTGCTTTCTACGGCGGACTGGTATCATCAATCGGTGTCCAGTTACTTCAACCTCGTATATAAAACGCAAAGTATTATAATTTAAATTGTTCGATAATATGTAAAGTTACTATCCAGTGGATGATACGATGCTTTCCACGTTGTTAGTTTAACATATTTCTGTAAAATTGTGTCATTTTTTCTTTTTGTTATTTTAAGCGTAATTGCGATCGAGTTGGAGTGGAAATCCTACCGGAGGATCGATGAAAGTACGGCTACATACTAATGAAATATCGCAATCTTTGGATGTCGCTTACGAGCGTTCTTAAGAAATTTAAGCGTGCAAGTGACGAGAACAAATATTGAGCCTCGGGTACGTAAAACGAAATGCTATGCATCACCTTTTCGTTAGGTGTGAAAGGAGGAAGTAACGACATGGTCGACGCACATGGTATTTCACGGACAAGAATCCATGCTACTTCCAGGAAACCATTACGAGCCCTTAAAACATCTTTCGATATGTTCGAGAGAAAGACTGTCGCGTACTTTTAAAGACCTCGGTAAATAATTCGCATTCGCACGACAGAGCTTGAAATGAATATTATCAGATGTCCCCGTAACAAAAGATTCGAACTAACTTAAAAAAAAATGTATGTACGTTTATGAAATATCCTCGTAAAAAGAAATCTTTACAGAGATTATTTTTATTGAGTTTTCGATTGCTCGCGTTATGAAATCCTGAACACTACCATTTATGTTACGTGAAGTAGAGATTAATATACCCTTAGGTTTGACACATTTTCTTTCTTTATTGCTATAACGCCTGGTAAAGTTCCCGGACGAACGGTAGTTCTCCCAATGTGGACTTTTCTTTTACGTTTGATGCACGCTGCGCCACATAATTGAAACGATCAATCAAACACCTGCGTAAAGAAGGGTGTACTAACGCGTGCACAAATTGCCGTGGAACATTTTCAAGCAGGGAGAATCCATCGACGCCACACCCTCGCTGCATCCTGCATCTGTAACACGCGTTTATCTTGTTTAAACTGGTTAATTATATCTTTTCTCATAAAATTTCACCTTTTTGTTCGAGAAGTGTTCAATGCACAATGAAAGTTCCATTTTGTTACGAGTAGAAGTCGGGAACAACATAACCTAGCGCTCAGATACCACGAATGAAATTTCAAAATGGCGCCGCGCGCAACAATTTCTATATTTTTCATCACATCTTTGCGATAGTATTCTTAATAGATCGGCGACACTTTCCTGGTGAAAATGAATCCAAACACAATGTCACTTCGACTATTTTTAATTACACGTTCTCCTAATTACTTCCGAAATACTGTCAATTAGGTACAATTAAAAATAGGCTGAATAAAGTAAGATTTGGAGTCGTTTTAATCGCGAATACTTAATACCGTTTTGAACATCGAAGAATATGAAATTTTTAATTTCCATTACTTGAATTCTCATACAGATTAAATTTGTAATACTTTGATAATGACATCTTTAGAACAAAATCCAATTAAAACAGGACATCTACTCTAGATACTAAGATTTTAATAAGATTTTCTTCAGAAAAAATAAAGCAACAATTCTTTCCAAATAAAAGTTAAATATCATTTTTTTTAGTATACACGTGTGCGGGTCGTAAAAAATTTTGGAGGTTATTTCAGTAATTTTGTCACCGTGTGACCGCTTCTATAATATTTCACGTCGAACGGGCAAATATTTGAAAAAGAGAAAAAACATTACAGAGAATATTAGTAAGTTTAATATCGCGGGAGTCTGAGGCGAATAGGTTAAAGAGATTGCGAGAATTCTTTCGAAACTGAGCGATTAATTTTCGGTAAGCTTCATGTATAACTGGTCGCTATTGGTATGGGCGCAGATATAGCCACTCTCGCGAGGTATTAGACAGGTGAGCGAGTTCCCAGGGGAACAAAGCCCCCATTACCTCATCTCGCCAACCCATCCCATTTATCCCGGCAAACCCTCCGCTTCTAAAACATTCATAAGAGCATCGTAAGTGGTTTTTAATAAAGGTATTTAATCATAGGTGTCGGATTACTTGTAAATCGGTTGCTAGTGTCACCGACTGGTGTTGGATTAGTCACGCGTACAAATATGTGCTCAGTGAAATCCCAGTTTGTTTGCATGTGGGCCATTTGTTTCAGCCGTTTAGTAAATATCGATACTCGGATCGCGCGTACGCGTTCGTATTTTATACTTTACAGAAATTCAACTGTTACTTTAAACGCAAAGCTTCGTTAACGCCCGCTTAAGCACGTATACAGTTAAAGCAATTATTTCTAGCAGTCGTGTGACTCGTTGCAGGACCGTGTCTCCGTTTTGACTCAGTCTTCGTCCTACCTGAGAAAACTCTGTTCGTAAAAATATCAAATGTGTTTCCTCGTACGAGTCCAACTCGTCGCGTTGGTGGTTTCGATCGCGTCGATGCCAAAAATTGCTGGCCAACAATGCTTCGACGACGGCAATGAATTTTGCATCGACGAGAACGACATACTGTCGGTGGATCTTCTGCCTGGATCGTTCCTGTTCGCGGATCAACAAACAGCCAAAAGCAAATCGACGGACACCGACGATAAAGCGGCCGACGGGTCTATCGACAACGCGTTGAATGATATGGACTATCACAGGTGAGTTTAAAGTTAACTGTTGTTTCTCGATAACATCGTGTCTCGTGATTTTTCAATTTAGGAAAAGGATGAACGAGTATTTGTGCCACGGTTACATGGCGGAGGAAATTTTTAAATTAATAAACACGCCCAGAGTTAAGAGGCGTCTCGGTACGCCGGAAAAGAATGAATTTAAAGATTCGATGGACGACGACAACGTTACTATTCACGACAAAATGTTGGCGGACGAGGGAAGTTTGAAGTATAAAAAGTGGTTGCAGCGGTGAGTGTTTAAGTTTTGTTTCTGTATTATTTTCGATAATCGATGATCCACCATAATTTTTTTATTTAGGAGAACCACGTTAGACGACGTGTATCGCCACTATATTCCCCACAAGAAGATGGATAAAATGCAAGGGCATCGAGATGGAATGATCGAGGAATTCGATGGGGAAGTTACGGGTTATGCGATGCAGGCTCCGTTACCGTCCGGAAAAGTTGGTTTCTACGAAGGACCAAACGAAGAAGACGGTACAGACAAGCAATCGATACATGAATTCTAAATAATTAATTCCTTCGTACGCGATTTAAACGAAACAAAACTATCAAACAGATCACATGTTGTCTTCCTCTTCGGGGCACAATTTTTATTACGGCCAAAACTATGGTCACGGGGGTGACCACCATTTCTTACATCACACCGAATCGTTCCCCGCCATACACGAGGAACACTATTACACGGCACCGTATTATCACGACCACGAAGAGGAATATCACAAACCTTACTATCATAAATCGAAAGGAAATGAACTCTCGATAAGAGACTTCTTCGAAATTGCTCTCACGGCCTTAGCGTTTCTAGCCTTTGGATTATTCATTATACATTTATTAATGAACGCCACGGTACGAGATTCAGACTGATTTCATTCAAATTGGATACGATAGTAATTTTTAATCCTCTTTTTCATTGGTTTCTTTTATAAAGAATAGTATGAATACAACCTCTCCCACATTGGTAACCACCAGTAGACGCTTCAAGAGGAACATTGATGGTTTGCCCTTTTCGTACGACAGCAACGAGGAATTGAACGAGCTCTCTTACAACGTTTTAAGGTCCATTGAAGCTGCTCTTGTCGCTGACATGGACTCTGGGAATTGTCTTCGTAGAATCCTCTGCGAGAACAATCGACGATCTACGGAGACCAAGGACGCGCGTAAAATTTGGGTACCAGTTTGGAGGTAATATAATATTTCTAAACTTGCTTAGGTACAGAATGGTATATGAAGAAACTAACAAACTTCATCGATATATCTAGCAGGCAATGATAAGATTTAAACTGTCTCAAAAATTTTCAAAACATTTTGCAAGATCGAACGTCTTGAAAATTCGATCTTGGAAGTCGTGAATATTTAAAAAAATTCAAAATTATTTTTGGGTTATATATACGCACGATAACCATGGAACCTTCCTTTTCAGTCTAGGAATGAGCTGGATCTCTGGCAGAGTATTAAAAGGATCCTCATGGTCGGCAATGATGGATTCTGTGAAAGCATCCGTTCTGGGTTTAGGCGGAGTCGACTGTGTATCTCTGTATCCTAACTGTGATCTCAAGAAACAGAGGATCAAGAGGGCTCGAAGACGCAGAAAATAATTCGATCAATATTATTTAAAACATTGCACTACATTACGACTAATTTCATCCTTGGATTACTTTTAATACGTATTAAATACTCATTTTTTTAATGGCTTGTATTTTGGTTGGTTTCATCGAGCAACACAGTAAACCTTTCGATATTTATATTTCCTACAAAGTTGTTATTATACACGACGAAGATTATAGGTAATAATTAAATAATATTCACTGTATTTTCCAACGAAACCAGCAGCAATGCGATATATGTATTTATCATTTATATGTTTACAGTACTTTTTAACGACGGGCCATCAATTTTCTGGGGTATCGTTGGAAACGTCGCTAGGTTCGTCTGTTTCGTTGTTTGAATAATCTCGTGGCAATGGTAAGAGAGAAGCATACGTCGAACCCGACGGACAAACGTGAAATATGTTTCTGTTTTGTCTTTCTTTCAACACGCGTATGTTCGAGAGTATAGGTACACCCTTTTCGTCGGTTAACGTGCGAAACTCTGCAACCTTAACAAAACACGAGCATAGAAAATAATCCACCACGGTGTGACTCTCATTGAAAAAATTCTGAATATTGTTAATTATCAACGTAACGTGATTTGAGAAGTTGCATAAATTTACTTGCTCGACGGAAACTCCTATCGGTACTCTGCTGATCACCCAGAGAATTTTGTGCACGTTACTTATCGTAACTATCGAACCCCAGTATAAAAAGTAATCGTCATTGAACGGCCTCATAATATTTGTCAACTGTATAGGCACTATACGAACGGACGAATCTGTGCTCTGTATGGAAGCCAAGTTTTTCACTATTTCCTCCATAAATTTATTTGGCTCGTTCTGTAACTAACCACGATTACATCATAATGTTTTATCGATTCAATTTTTATTCGGAACACTTGGACTTACCTTAATAAAATATACTAAAATGGTGACGCCGTCGGGTCGCCGGAGCGCCGTGTCCAACGTTTCGTACTCGCTTTTGAAGTGCACTGCGTGGAGTTCCATCGGCATGCTTTAAACAAAATTGCATCAAACTGTATTTAAAACTGAAAGTTATTTTGAAAAAGCACCAGCGAAACGGAAGTTCTACGAAAAATTCTCTGAGCGTAAAATCATTCAAATATATGGATTATTTAATAATAAAAGCGATGAGTTTTAACATGGAAATATTTAAATTTCCCTGAAAAAAGTGTCACGTATATCATTGATCAAGTAAGTTCTAAATTCTATTTTTAATTCTTATATTAAATCGCTGTTGTGGAATCAGTTAAAAATACAGAAACACTTAACAAACCTCGCACCGTCAATGTAATGTTCGCTCCCGTTCATCTCGTTTTCTCCCCAGTGAAAATGAATTTGCGAGAAAATATAATTCTCCGTGAACGGTCCACCGCAAAGATAAGGTCGTTTCTGCTGCCATTTCGCGCTGAGAATTACTGATAACCGATAAACGTTAACAATCGATCGTACGAAAGATAGGTTACCATCGAGTACGCTACCCGTGTATCCAGTGTTGGTAATTTTCACTTTCCTCGGCGCCACGTCAATATTAATCCATTGCAAAGGACTCAGTTCTATAACTTTCATATAACTGATATCCAAATCGACCGGAGACTCTAATTCGCCATCGGTGGCAGCTAAACCTTGAACGAACCTAGCATTCTCTGTATCAGCCTCGTGCGTTTCTGACATTTATCGGTAAAATGGTATCGTAAACTGGAATTATTTGAGTCGTTTAATTTAGACACGATGCTTCAAACGTTTACATATTGTCGAAACTTAGGGTCAAGTACTGTTTCAATTCGATCTATTCGCGATCGATCGCGCTCCGTACCTCGTGAAGATAGCATTCGAAAATGTTTGTGCAGGGTTATAAAATATTCTTAATAAATATCTGCTTTGTACTTTCGTCATTTTACCATGGATTACGCGCGTAAAATCGGCAAACCGAAAGGCCTGACGAGATGGGAGACGCCCGTGACGAGAGCTCTATCCACTCGCGATGGTTTCATGTGCACGGACGAAGATTACACCGAGGATGGTGCACTGGTGAACTGGAGGAAATGGTTGTCCAACCGAAGGAAACAATACAAACGCATCGAGTCGGTCACCGGTCGCCACCAGAACGACCAAGTGCTGAACGGTTGCGAAAAAATTCGACCTCTCGTCGAGATGAGAAATGTGATGGATTACGCGACAATACCGGCACCGGTGATTCCGGACAAATTTCGAGGCGGTCCAGAATTTTGGAGGACGCCACAGGTGTTGTCCAACCGTGGAGATCCCTGCTTACCGGATATCGCGTACACTCAAACCAAAAAAGAATTAAACCTACTTCCAGAGCTAACGTTCGTGGACTTGCCGGAATTATTAGAAAAAGAAAAAGATCTCGTGGGTTTAAAATCGAGGGAACCATCGTGGAAGCGTAATCGATATTTACAGAAACGAATGGTCGAGCTGTCCAGGGAAATAAAATTGCTCGTACCGAAGGAACCGGAAACGAGGGAGCTCGTGGTCGAGGGCCACGCTCCGCGACGAAAAACGAAAGAGCCAAGAATACCGCCCATAACGATCTCCGACACCGAGGAGAAGAACGAATGCGACCCGAGCGTGGATCAGGATCAGGCGGTGGTGTTGAAGATCCAAGATCGAGAAATAGTTTGGCGAGGATCTGGCTTCGAGAACCAGGGAACCGACGCGATCATCTGGAACGTGTCTTTCTCGGGACGAGTGGATCAAAGAAAGGAGAGGGAAATCGTGCTGGAGAACAAAGGAAATCGCGTGATCGTTTACGAGTGGAGAGACGCTGCATTTCGATCCGCGACGATACCATTGGGAAGACGAACGGGTCCATTTTTCTTTAACAAGACGAAGGGGACGATTCTTCCAGGACAAATAACGAAATTGAAGGTTTGGTATCTGCCGCGAATCCCGGGTGTCTTTAGCGAACTTTGGAGACTGAAAACCGACCCGGAGTTGTGCTCATCTCCGTTGATAATAAGACTCAGCGGTTGTGCGGAGACCGTGGATCCACAGAACGCGAAGAACGATCCCGTGCTGATCGTCGACGAGTACTTGGATCGTTGCGTTCGGGACGCCACGATACGAGAAACCATAAACGAGATAATGGAAGACATGCACTGCATCGAACCTCCAGGACCTTCTTACGGTAGTCTGTTTCTGGAATCAGAGATATTCGTTACTAAAACTCCGCTGTGCTTCTATCATCCGAGCCTCGTGACAGAGTTTCACAAGATTTACCACGTCGCGACGAACCAGAACGAGCGGCGTTGGAACTTGTGTTTGGATCACCTGAGGGAAACGCTGTTGAAGATTAAGGAACCAGCAGAAAGGCAGTCTATGTTGTCGCAATTCAGTGAAATCTATAAAAAGTGCCTAAAGCCTCCGTTGGCAGCCTCTTCTATAGACAGGAAGCACGAAACTGTGTATAATTTGTTGTGTTATTTTACGAATCGTTTCGAGATCGAAAGCAAGTTCGCGAGAGATGCGTGCTGCACGAAAGACACTCGAGAAACTGTTGTCGCGGTTTCGGAAATTAATACTAACGAGGTCCAAACGTCGGTAAAAAACAGCAACTCGCGAAACAAGCGTGGAAGAAGATCGATTACTCGCACTCAAAGTGTTCCTATCGAAAGAACCGTCGACGATTCTGTTCGCTTTGTGGACATTGGACCGTACAGGGAAATATTTTTCATTCGTGTTTACGAACTTTTAAGAGTGATGATCGAACGAGCGTGCGCAACGATCGATTCGTTTAATAACTTGAACGAACCTGATAAGTGAAAACGATTGAAATAATAAATAGAACTCGAACCACGTTATTTAAGTTCGAAATGTTGATGAAATTTTGACAATAGAAATATGTTTTATCGAAAACTAAACTAAGAACCCCTTCTCTTTCGAGTACAGATTTTTATTAGACGGATGATAATTTTATTCGTTAGGTCGAATGGAACTGGAAACATAATGAGAGGTGTTGGTTTTAATTGTACGTAGTTATAATCTGACTACGAGACTGTATACATATACCGTAGCTCTTCCTGTATTTTTATTCTGCAGTTTCTTATACGATTATTATATAGACAAACGCGTAACTTAAAAATTTGTTTCAAGGACGTCGCCTCAGGGGGTTGCTAAAAATATTTTTCTACACTTCAATTGTTGCGTTTCACGCCAGTTTGCCTTTATACACCGTCCATCCTTGTCCCTCAGCCTTCGAAATTCATTGATCTGTGGATTTCTATCGTTAGACTGATTAAAAATGATATTACAGCGACTTACTTCGTCGGGTCGTATCGGCGTAACAACAGGAAATACAATCCAAGTGGCGCATTCAGGATTATCACCAACGTTATATGATCCTGCGTACGTATAGTAGTAGCTGCAATACGTTGCACAACGCATAAAGGACAGTGAGTCTACAACAAATGCGACCCAAATATTTTATAACGTCGTTCGTGGTCACTTTGAATTTTTAATAGAATTAAATAAATCTTTTTACCGAGTCATTAATTGCTAAAAGACTATTTTATTATTAATACTAACTGGGTGGTATTTTCACTTCCGAGTCAGCGTCAACAATATACTGCAGGTTCTCCGTTATTCTTTCCATTTGCGGATTGATACAACCGCAGCAAGGAGGCTGCACCTTTCGTAATATTTAAATTAATGTTACGAGACTCGTCGTCGAACGCGATAATAAACGAAATACCAAATTTGCCTACTAAGAACAAATACGCCAGGACGCACATGCCATCTTTGTGCCTCTGGCATTCGTCGAAAGTCACGTATTTTCTGTTCCAGTGCACCACGTGACACTCCATCGAGAACCTTGGCGATACGACATTTATGAAAATCGCGAAAGACGATCGTGGATCGTTGATTTTTTACCAAGTGCCATTGATCGTGTGCTCAGCACCCCGGCAATTGTCTTCGCCCCAATGGAAATGAGCGTCGAACATTTCGTACACGTCGTTCGCGAGTGGACCTCCGCTTACCGTGGATGGAATTCGATCTCCGGTCAAAGTTATTCTCGCTGAATGTGTAAAAATATTTCTAGCTCTTTGGTAAAATCGATCAACCTAATTCATTGTCGGACTCTTAGAGATTTTCAAAAACGAAAAGAATTCGACGTTGCTCGAAAGGTCAAGTATGATATAATACATGAAATTATACGAGAAAGGAACATTCTGATTATTTTTCAATCATTCTTTGTGTAGCTAGAGAAACCTACCATTCACAAATTCATTGCTTCGGATCGAGAATTTTATATTTTCTCTATATTTAAAGCTAGAGGAATTAGTTTTTTATTTTTATAATACACAGAATTTATGGATAATTAATATCAAGCGAATTACCGGTATGCCCATTATTAATCATACGGGCTTCTCCATCTTGTAACCAGTGACCATTCATAACAAGAGAATCGTACCTGCGTGGTCGTACTAATCGTTCGTTTAGATCGATCGGAGATTGTCCTGTCGTTGGCAAGCCTTAAAAAAGATCACAAATGTATAAATGTTTTATCCGTGATTACGTAACCTTAATCGAGTATTAAAATTTTTCTCAGTACCAATCAAGCCTGTGTATCCCGACATTGCAACGATGTATGCTGAATAGGTATCAAAATGGATCGTATATAAGCCAAAACATAATTGAAAATTGATTCTCTTTTGACAAGGTCATAATCGAAAAGTATTGTAAGGGTTACATAGTTAAAGGTTATGTTTTATATTTCAAAAACAAGCGAATAGTTAAGTGGGATTCTTTGTATCGATTTTAATACAACCTTACAATTTCGTACAGCAATAAAGAATTAACGATTTAATAACGATTTTTTTTGTTCACGCAATATTTTTTATACAGCAGCGCTGTCCGTCGCGAAAAAGATTCTTCTTCTATGAAGACGCTGCTGCTGTCTCCGATTTTCTAATATATTTTCTAATCTGCTATCGTAAAGACTCCTAAATGCATCCATCTGTTATGAAAACGAACAAATAATGAGTCACACTGTAAAAGAGTATTCCAATCAGAAGTACCTGTCGAAGCGATATTTTCGTTATAGTCGATGAAATTATCCAGATAACACATTCATTGTATGGAGCAGTCGTGAGAGAACCAGGATAAGTATAATAGCCATGGCCCCTGCACGCGTCTAACATCCAAAGTAAACAATCTGTTAAAGAACAATTTCAAAAAGTTATTGACACTTCGATATCGATTCATAGAATTCGTTAAAGTAAGAAATTAATCAATAATTCTTTAATTTCCTGACTGTCTCATCACGAAGGTTTGAATTTAAGAAAAACTTTAAACGATTTTTCTGTTTTCATTGGTTCATAAATTAATATACGATCATAATAACAGAAAATATACTAAAATTATTATTTATTTACGAAATTAAGGATTTCAATTCATCTTTTTTACCGGGTGGAATTTCAGTACTGCTCCCCATGACTTTGATCTTGGACAAGTTGTTCGTAATTGTTGAAAATGATGGATTATCAGGGATTCCAGGGCATCCAACGACCTGTTTAATTATTCATTATGCGAGAAAAACGAACGGATCGATTGTAATTGGAATTCGTACTTGCAGGAAATACGAGAGTATTACTATTCCGTCTGGTTTATCGAAGCACCGTTCCATCGATCCGTAACGAGTGTTCCAATGCATTATTTGTGCCTCCATGGAGTACCTGCGTTCGAAGGCTTATATGGAATGCTCGTTGCGGCTATACGCGTGAAATTAATAAGCAGAAATAAAAGCGTCTTCTAACCAGATACCATCTATGGAGTGTTCCGCGCCGAGGGAGTTTTCAGCGCCCCAACGAAATCGCACATTCATAAACTGAAACTCGTCGGACAAAGGTCCGCCACGCATCGTAGGCAACGTTCGATTCGAAAATTCAATGCTGACTGAAAATTATTTGATACATCGCCTCTTACGAGACAAATTGAAAAATTATTTTATCATAAAAGCAATATTTGAATGACAATTTTATGTAATCGCAGTTACATCTTTGATAGCTTATAAACGATCGAAATTTTTTGGAAAGGACCTGTTTTGCCAGTATTAGTCATCGTAGCTGTACCCTCGTCCGACCAATAGTTAGTCAGATACAATGGCGGAAATTTTTGACTCCAAGTGGCTGTCTTGCTTAAATTAATCGGAGACTGTCGCCATTTAGGCAACCCCGAAGACGAAGTTGAAAATATCCCGCTGGATTTGGAAGCTTCAAAAATTAATTAACCCGATAGAAACGAACTATTTTTAACGCAAGATGAGATAACCTGTATTTACTAACCAATTCTCTTGGCTCTCCTGCTGGTCGATCTTGATATCGCCATTTTCGTAATCGCTTCTATAGGAATTATTTAGAAATTATTATAAATGTTTTTAATCCTGCAACCGAAAAATATGGTAAAGTAATTTAAATATGTATGAATTATGTTAGTTGCTACATGTTGCGATCTTTACAATGAAGCTTGTTACATATGTATCGTATATAATGTATCTATATTTAAACAGCAGTGCTAATAATGCATTTAGTATATTTTTCATTGTTCGTACATTGGACTTTCATTAAACAAATATATTTTATACGTAATTATAATACATTAATTTCTTGTTGACAAAACGATGTATACGCGTTACACTTGTGCGATCGGACGTAATTTAGCTGACGTAATAAACAACACGACCATTTAATTTCTGTACTTCCCGATAATTTTCTTTTATACATATGCCCTGTTTATTGCACAGCATTCGAAACAATTTCGCCTGGTTTTCGGAAATTCGCACTGGTTCCGGAAAAACGATCCAACTGACGCACTCGTGAAACGGAAAGGTCGTGGTCGATCCTAAATAATTATAATAACCCGGAGTTTGACAAGCTTGTCTCATCCATCCCAAACAATCTGCAATAAAATTTGTTATCAACGTGCAGAAATATATTTAAGTTCGATACTCAATTTTAATGATTAATGGCCAGATTTACTATAATTGCTGGATTACAATTTTTAATTAAAATCATTACTCATTGTCTTCTGCTAAAAGAGAATGAAAATTTCGTTTCGAACGTACTCGCTGGTAATTTTGTGACCGATTCGGCTTGAATGACGTTGTACAAACTGTCCGTGATTCTCGAAAATAATGGATGTTCGTCCCAGACTGGCATTTGATAAGCTTGCAGAAAGTACGAGCAAATAGCTAGTCCATCTTCCTTGTTCCAGCAATTGTCAATCGTCTCGTATCTCTTGTTGAAGTGTATCGCTTGGGCTTCCATTGTGAACCAAGTGCCATTTAGGGTATGTTCCGCACCCTTGCAGTTCGAAGAGCCCCATCGAAACACCACTTCTGTCAACTCGTACACGTCATTTGACAGTGGTCCGCCACGAATAGTAACTGGACTCTTCTTCCCTTCCAGGGTTATTCGAACTGATAAATATTTACAAATATCAGTGGTAATTAAACGTACCAAACGAGGCATTTCGAGGAATTTTCTATTAGAAATATTTTCATGGCTTTGAGTTACCGGTGCTGCCGGTATTTCGCATTTTTGCGTCGCCATCTTGACTCCAGTGACCGCTCATGAGGAGAGCAGGAAATTTAATTGGGATCGCTGAATCCTCGCTGATGTCGACCGGAGACTGGCCCCATTTTCGACCATCGCCTTAGAAAAAATCGTTGAAACCGTCGTGTTCTAAATGCTATCGAAGTTGAAAAAACAACTCTCACCCGCACACTGCATTTTATTTCATAATTCTTGCCGATCGTCGATCGTTGTACAATTATTCTGGAATTTAGATGAACCATCGAATCTTGCGTACACTTGTTTCACATATTAAAATTTTAACGTTTGACAGCTGTCAGAAATAAGGCAGCGTCGACAGGTTCGGAACAATCAAACCGTGCGCGACTCGTGAAGTTGTCGTTAAATAAAAACGCATTCTGCGTCTGGTTAATGTGTTTCTATTAAACGGGAGGTTAACTTCGAAACTTTATTAAAATTCTTGTATGAACGGGCGTATCGAGGCGCGCGCGATCGCGCAGCTTGCAACGTGCCAACGATTCCCACGGGACGATTAAAAATGATAAACATTTCGCTACCGGAATTTATGATAGTGTGCAGCAGTGTTCTTCTGGTCTGTAAGTCGAGCGCTGAACTTAAAGATATAATCAAATACGCGAAATATACAGGGTGTTCGGCCACCCCTGGGAAAAATTTCAATGAGAGATTCTAGAGGCCAAAATAAGACGAAAATCAAGAATACTAGTTTGTTGATTGACGCTTCGTTAAAAAGGTATTAACAAACTTATTAATAAAAGTCCACCTATTCGAATTTTTTTTCTCGAACACGCGTAGGATTTCGGGGGACAAGTCTATTCACCAAAAATGATTGTGATTGACCCTCGCAAACGAAAATAATTTTTTTATAACGATTTGAAAATTTATACCCCCTGTCGATTTTTCTTAAAAATTCGTTTTTTATTTTTAGTAAATTTGTTTGACGCTGTACGGAAATGTTGTCTAATACTTTTTGAAGGTACTCGTGGGCAGTACTGCAGAAAAAAATTTCATTGAAATATATTCACTATTGTAGGAGTTATGGCCATTTGAAAATTGGACCATTTTTATGTGGTTCTTCTCACTTTACGGGGTCAAGGAACAATTTTTCCAATATTTTTAGAATTTCTACATATTCTACGCTAAAATACGCGTCGTTTGCCTTTTGAAACATTAAAATCCTCCAATTCGTTCAAAAGTTACGATGTTTTAAAGATTCGCATGAAATTTCAGGGTAACATTTCTGGCCAGAAATTATATTTTCAGAAAGGAATTTTTTGCTAAAAAATGGTTAGGAATTCAGAGGTATGTCAATTCACCAAAAATGATTGCAATTAACCCTTCTAGCCAAAAATAATTTTTTTATAATGATTGGGAAGTTTTTAATTTCGTCGAAAAATTTATCCACTTACTCAATTTTTTTCTCGAAAGTGGGTAGGATTTCAGGGGTATGTCTATTCACCAAATATGCTTGTAATTGACCCCTGTAACTAAATATAATTTTATTAGTATAATTTGAAATTTTTTAATTTAATTTTTTAATAATTTTCGGTCATGAATTTTTTTCTCGAAAATGCATGGGAATTCGGGGGTATGTGTATTTACCAAAAATAATTGTAAATGACCTCTGCAACTAAAAATAATTTTTTTAGAACGATTTGAAATTTTTTTTTCACCGAAAAATTTTCTGGTCGGTATGGAACTTCAAACGTTAATAACTTTTTAACGAAGCCTCCATCAACAAAGTGGTATTCTTGATTTTCGTCTTGTTTTGGTCTCTAGAATTTACCATTCAAATTTTTCCCAGAGGTGGCCGAACACCCTGTATAATAATGGTAACTCGTGGAGACGCAAACCTTTATTTGAGATTTTCTGTTTCGTTGTAATCGTTATCCCGAACCACGTTTTTAAAGTTCTGCTACTGACTGAAATCCTGGATTGGGCACAATTATTCCCATGGGTGGGGAGCGAGAGCCATTTCCCTGGCTTCACTTTCGGTTACTCGGAGCGTAATGGTCCTCATATGTGGAAAGTGTTGTATCCGGCCAGTAATGGCAGCAATCAGTCGCCAATCAACATCACGACACGGCTCGCTGTCGTCGTGCAACCGTCAGAACCTCTTCGATGGACCGGCTACAATAAAGGACCATTATCGATGACTATAGCGAATAATGGAAATAACGGTGCAATTTCTTCCACTGATTTATACGAAACTCACTACATAAGAAGCGTTCTATACAGATTCCTTTATTATAACTACGATCCTAACAAAGCCTATCTTCTAGAAATTATGATACGCTCTGTCAGATTGTCACAATCTCGTCCACCGCTGTTACCTTTTTCGATCGTTTGCCATTCGTAAAGTATTACCCAGTTATATGAAGTAAATTTGCCCCTGGTAATCCAGGAAGATATAATATTTATAGTTATCGTTGCATCTTCGTGAGAGTGTTATTAATGTATTGGTCAAATTTTGTTTTAATATACATATAATTAAAAGTGGTCCGAACAAGGTCGTGTTTGTACTCATTTTCATTGGGAAAGTTTCACGAATTCATCTGTAGCAATAATTCATTAATAATATTGTCACGAAAATCGAAAAACATCAAAATTTGGATTTGGAATATTGAGATTTTGATAATGCGATTCAAATTCAAATTGTGATAACCTGGCAGAGCGTACGGTATTTTTTAACAAATTATCAGTATCACGATATATTGTATTGCTTCCAGTGGTAGTGAACACAATATGGAACAGCTTCTCTCGGCCGCATATTCAAGGAGGATCCCTGACTAAAATTTACGATTTTTGTTCGATGGTGTTTCACTGGGGACATTCGAACGAAGATGGCAGCGAGCACACTTTGGATTATGTTCGGTATCCTATGGAGCTACAAGTGTGCCACATCAGTCGAGACTTTAATTCACCGTTAGACGCTATTGCCGACAAATCGAACGACGCCATGCTGATCGTTTCGTTCTTTTTTCAGGTCTGTGCTCTATTAACCCTTTCAAACACTGTATCCAAATTTATTTATATACTTTTGAATATAAAGACTGGACCACGTTGCAAAATCTCTTTCCAATATTAGAAATTTTGTGTGTGGTTAATACCTTCACAATGTACTTTTTTTACAATGTTTATGACTCCGTTTCTTACAGCATAATTTCGAACATAATAAAATGAAGTTAAAAAAAATATTAATATTTTTGTTTCGTCTTAGACCTCTTCTTAAAAAGCATGTGTTTCGTGAAGTTTCTGCGACAGTATACGATATCAAAGAATGTATTAAATAAGTATTTTATTCATTTCTAAAAGATTTTATCACATCTTAATATGCCAAGAAATAATTTTTTCGTATATTCCTAATGGTTCTAGAGAACACAATTTGCAACACTTCACTGTTATTATCGCTTTAATATTAGGCCAGTCCATAAGTTCGTGTGTATTTATCAAAAAGTTTTATTCGCATAGGAACGACCGATTCATATTTTCCAATCAATAATATATATTCCTGCGTTATCTACTGACACCATTTTATAGGCGTGGTTTGAACACCACCGTGGAGTCTTTTGACTTCATTTTTATTTAAAGATTCAGTTCCCATGATGGTAATTGCTTGACACAATATTTGGAGCGTACGACGGTTGAGACGTAACTTCCCAGTTAAACTCTTTAACTTCTCGGAGCGTTACTTCTGCAATGGAGGAACACGGCTTTGCAATATTTCAAATTAATAGTAATATACTTTATTTGTAGCTCGTCTCACCAAACAGATGATTCTATTTTTTTTTATTCGAATTTCCCTTCCTGGCCAGTGATTTTCATTTCTTGTTATTATCTATCCACTGCCTTTTTCAAGTTTTCTGCAATCAATTTTTAGGGACTATAGTTCATACTCCATATTAGGGATCCCAAACTTTCTCGACAAACTATAAACATATAAAGTTAATGGCAAACTACACACGAACATATGGACTAACCTGATAGTTATTATCAATATTATTGATTATATGCCCACGACTACAGATCACGAATGCAGATAATCCGTATTTGGACCAAATCGTGACAAACTTATGGCGGATTGCTCAGCCAGGGACGAAGTTTCACATTCCACCCTTCCCTTTGGAGTGGATTCTCTCACCTTTCGAAAAGAGTTATTATACGTATAGTGGCTCTCTTACTCAACCTCCCTGCAGTGAAATCGTCACTTGGATCGTTCAACCTGAGCCAATCGCTATATCCTCGTTTCAAGTATGCATTATTTTATGGGGATTGCGATGGAACCTCGATAATTGCAGAAAAAACAAACACACTAAGAGGAAATCTTACTTATGCAATATACCCTTCGCTGACTGCTGAAACTGTTTCTTCGATTTTTAATTTCCTTTGTTGCTTAGTGACAATTATCTGCTTCACTTATCAACGGAATGGAACGACAAAGATTCTCGCGAAATCATCAAAGTTGCATTTATCGAGGTTCTACTGTGCCCCAAAAAGAATTCTGTTTCATAATTTTTCAAAAATGACGGTTATTGGTCCGATGCATCAATCATATTCTATTTTAATTCTAGTAATAACCAAGTATTATTGTTAATGTTGAGTCAGGCTGTATTCAGCAGTTTGTAAAGTTAAAAAAAATCAACTTCGTAACTGTTGGAAGCATTTGGCATTCTAAAATGGAGACACGTTCTAGGTTTCTAAAGTACTGAAAGAAGAGTATCGTAGTTATTTTATAATAATATTATTCATATTCACAAGTTACAATTTATAACTCTACAAACGTATACATACAGCCGGACGAGATTATATTTTAACAACAGCATATGTGCTGTACTTTTTATTGATTTACGTACATCTTAATTTAGTTTTTTTTACATTTATGAATTTGTACCTGCACACGTGCTAATAAAGACTTAATAAGAAAAATAATACTTGATTATTAATCTATATAAATAAAATAGTGACCTAGCCTGCGATTGTAACATTATTAGGCAATCTCGACTTAAATGTATATATTATAGAGTATCTAAGCCGATTTACAAGTTTGAAAATTTTCATCTGTCCGTTCGTCTGTTTGTTTCTTCGTCGTGAATCAACAAAATGTATATTGAACCGATTTTCACTGAATCACAGCTATTCTGTGGCGTGTATATCAGAGAATAGGATAAGCTATTTCATCAACGATCTTTCACTCAACGGGAGTAAAATACTAAAAAATTAGATATAAAACCTAGTTGTGTATGTTTCTTAAAAATTGCTCTACTTAAAGTAAAGTAACTTAATAGAATGCATATCTCCTTCAGCTTTAATTTTCTATTAAAATTTACGACAATTTTCGTTGGAAATTAAATTCCAATCCGTTTCTGTTCCTAATATTCGATACACAGACACAACTAAGTTTTATTTACGCAAACCTGTGCACGGACGAGAGAATATAATTGGTATGCCAGGTCAATAATCGTTATTTTTGAACATCGAATAGTATGTCACGAACAACTATTTAACATTTTATTTAAGCATATTCTGTTTCATATTGTCAATATTGATTTTTCCATACAGGTTGCGCAATTTCGAAAACTCTGCTCCGCGGACGGTCCTATCCTCTTAAACTGCAGGCCCGTTCAACGAATAAACGAACGTAACGTGTACTTCTACGAATAACACTCGTCGTCAAGTAATGTGCCTTTATGCCGTGAACACGTTCGTCCGATTCATCAATTATATCGTGTGAAATTAATCGTAGAATAATACGCGTCGTCGCGTTCGTCGATCCAAGAAATTCGCAAACTTGTCCGCGCGACACGCTGTTGGAAATGTAAAGTAAGTGTAAAAATCAGTGTCGTTTGCAGAGAGCGGTGATTTTATTGTTTTTTCTTTTCCCTACTATATTATTTACGAACACGCCGAAAACGTTTTCCAACAAATGTCATAAGAAAATAAACGCGTAACAAAGTCAGATTCGCTTACAGGAAGGTACAATTTCACTTGGTACGAGTTATTGTAACAGATTTTGTCGTCATCATGGTTACTCACGAACATAAAAACACCTTCTTGCTGGCATTGTACAGACTATGGTAGAGGGGATGCGTTTCCCGTTAATTTTTATTGGAACGTGCATCTCGTTATTTTGTTGTTTTTACAAGCGATCGATAGGCAGCTATCAATTTCTACCACACACATACATGTACATCGTTACTGCGTACATTCACTCTTTGACGGATATTTTTTTTCTCAGTAAAAAGTCACAAGGTCGTTTCGAACATATGCGGGTGCCAATGTATACATATAAATCACGACGGTGACAGAGAAAGTGAAAATATTTTTGTTAGCTCCCTTACCACGATTTTATTTCTCTCGATTTAAAGATCGTCTTGTACGGCGAGTAACTTTAACATTATTAACTTTGACACATTTTAATAAAGATATACATTTCTCCTCGATCCCCGCAACTGAAATAAAAATATTTCGCCCAATATTCTAGTCGAACGCTGGAAACAGAGAATATTTAACTTATTACAAATAGCTAACTTTTTCAAATACCTTGTAAAGGGCCCAAAGATTTTTGTAGTTTGAATTTAACGATCAACGAAAGTGTACAAATTAATTTCTTTTCCTCAAATCCAAACATGTTACGAATGCTTCCGCGAGTCTCGATTTATTCCCAATATTAAAGTTACTCGGTTACTTTATATTCAATGAGGTCGTCGGCGCGATGGTTGACATCTTCGTGATAAATTACGGAGTAAACGATAATTTTCTGGCATTCGTAACCGGAGTGAACACGAAGAGAATAACGTCTATGTACAGAGTAATAGATATTTCGTTCTTATTCGAATTGGTACGATATTTCGCAATGAAACACACATAAGGGACGGGAATGGCTTAGAAGATTCCGAGCAAGCACAGCTTTTCTATCTTACAACAAGCTTCACAAACCCTAAAACATCGTCCTTCCTCGTTTACGAAACCTGGTTCGCAACGACCACTTATTATCGAGTGCATATCGTTGTTCGCTTCGTCGAATGTTTCTAGTCGGAAAATCGTCGGAAGCGAACGGATGCAATTTAAAACAACGCATCTGCAATCGTCGCGACTCCAACGGGGAACCTGAAATTAATTTCCTTTCTGCTTTGTGCTCGCGCCGCGGATATCGTCTCAATCCACTTGCATGTCTCTTATCGTTCGACAAAGGAAAGCCGAGGTTATTATGCCGAACGTCTGAAATGTATACACGTGATCAATGTCCGGGATGAACTAAAATTGTCAATGTTTCGTTAAAACGTACTTGTATGCCAGCCATTGCCATGCCCAGAAACACTAAAGTGAAACTCTCACACTCCAGCCAACTGGTGATTTTATCGAGACAACCCTACAAACATTTAGTAACGTGAAGCAAACTATGGGAAACGCGAAGCCGTTGCTTCTCAAACATCGCACAGTGACTCACAGATTTGTTTAAGAAAAATTGCTTCTAAAATCATTTAATAGTGTCAACGAGTTCTTTTGTGCTTGATACAATTGTTTGGATTACAAAAATTCGTGGTATTGTTGTGTAAGCTGTTGCACGACGCGTTGGATGACAGCCAAAATACCTGTTGTACACAAAACGATAAGAACGTGTGTGTGGCCTCTCGACAACCAGCTGGAAAGATTCTCTGCGCGATTTCCGCTTTGAAATGAAAGCTTTGAAGTACAACAGGTACGAAATTGGGATTACGTGAGAATTTGTAGAAAATGTAGGATAAGAGTATCTGTATGAATTTTAATTAATTCGAGAAGTAGAAATATGTGAATTTAACAAATCTGTGGGTCGCTGTAAGGTGACTTTATAGCTAAAAATTTTGCAAATAAGATATTTATACCTTTTCTATGTTTCTATAATATATAACTAATACAATGATTTCTAAAGACATACATTATACTTTGTTCGCTAGTCTAATTATGGTATCTATCGCAACTCTACCAGACAAGTAAAGGAGCTTAAAATTAATGGTCCAAACTAATTGTAAGTCGATCAAAAAACTGTATAAATATGTAACGATGATTTTGTTCCATTCTACCGAGCAAGATTTCTCCTTCATTGTCCAATAATCTGCTCGAAATTAAATTACTTACCTCTTTATGTCGATATCCTTCGTGACCCTCTTTGTCTTCCACTTGACACGCTGTCTCGTCCTTCGGTTTTGGATTCAGCCACGGTTTCTCGGTCTGTCGTGAACGGTAAAACTTTTATAAACGCCAAAGAATGTGAAAGGCAATTTAATCACTTACATTTTTATGAAACACTCTTGACACGACGCTCATCGGACTTCCTGTATTTTTTACCTGCGAAACAACGATAATATCATTTTCCAACCACGATCGCGTGATTCTGTTCCTGATTCGCTAGTAAACAACTAATTTAAAAAAAAATAAATAGAAAATAGATTGTCTTTAACTTTGATGAATACTGTCATTTAATATTTTCGATGTACTTTCGTTAATATTAAGAATGAGTATGAATCTATCTACAGAAGAGCCTTCTACTTACATCGAAACGTTTATACAAAATATATACGCCGCACAGTGGGAAGAAAACCAGATTCTGTGGCCAAAAATCGATTTTTCTAGGATTCCAAAAAAATAAAATTATTTATTTCCAGGAGATTTTATTTTTGAGTAATATAATTTTGAATTTCAAATAGGTGAAGCAACTTAAATCAATTAAATAAAATCAAATAAGGCAACATTTTTTTTGTCTTCTTTTTTTTAGTAATTAAACTTTGAGTCTTTTAGGATAGAATAAACCAAGTATACACAGAAATATTTATTTTTAGCTACAATAATTACCTACAGTTATGTAAACTATATAAAATAAAAGAATCACGATCTTTCACAGTTCAACTGTTAATGTAGTATTATTGTACCAAGTACCACTGACCCGTATACGATGAATTATATCCGTCTGTAACCGTTTGCAAATAATTTACAAGTTTAAAGAATATTTATATAAGAAACTTTGGTCATTAATAAAGTGTGACTTTACTGCGGCACATTATTCCAAACTAAGTTTAATTGAATTCAGTGTAGTGTTTGTATAATAGGTATAAAAATGGATTTTACATATAAGTTTTTATTTAATGTGTTTATAGAAAATACTAGTGGCCAGAGGAGATTTGGGATATTTTTGAATTTTAAATAGTAGGTACGTAACGTTATTGCGTTAGTTAATTAATTAAGTATCATTTAACGTAAATAACGTATCTGGTGTTGCGTAAGTACTGAAGAATACTTCAACTTCATTAAAGGAAAAAGAAATATTACTTTATCTTCATTCGTTCAAAAGTTATAGATTTTTGGCCGCTGAAACATCAATTATTCCCACTGTGCGCCGTTCAATATACCATTAAACTGAAAATCTTAGAAAAACGTCAAAAGATTGGTAAAAAACGTGCCTTGATTAAAGCAAATGGCAAGAGTACGATACGTTCTTTTAAAATAATAATTTTATCGAAGAAATACGATCTGTGAGTGGTCTGTGATATCGTATTGACTATTGCAAAAGTTTCGAAATATCGTATGGCAGCGTACCTCGGTATTTTTTAAAACGCAGCACGTGAGAGGGACCTGCCTTCTGCTTCCTGAAATTTGCGCGTCTCTCCACCAGGCCGTGCCATTGTAGTCCGCGTATCCATGTATTCCACAGCAATTAAACTGCAATGGAATCACCTATATGCTCTTCGGACCATTATAATATGCCTGGATGGACGGTCCTTCGAGTGCAGTGTTCGCCGTTCGTGCGCGAAATAAAATTTGTATTCTATGGCCTTTCGATCATTTGTCGCCAACCGTGAAGGCCGCGGCTGCTCGCTAACGATCGTGTTTGCAAAACTAGTCTGTTCCCCGACGTTCCACACCGGATGCCTTTGTGACTCAATTTCGCAAAATTATTCAAAAAACACCCAGCTAGAAACTAAACGCTGCTCTAGTGAAATTTAAATCATTCGCAGGAGTTGCGTTTCTTAATATTATCAATTTGAATGTCACTCGAAACTATTGTTCAGAAACCCAAGATCGGCACAGATACCATTTACAACTTGTAATCCATCGGTAACGCGCACGTGGAGCCAGAATGGCGACAATGAAGCGACGCCAAATAGAGATTAGCATAGTTTGAATGGAATTACGAGGATAGAGCATCGATGGGACCATAATTTCGCCCGTAACTTCTTCGCTCGTAGTTTAAACGAAACTTTTCTAATCGATACGAATGAAAGAGTCCGAAGCTTACGACTTTGCTCCACTTTTCTCCTTACGGAAATAAAACGTTCGACTAAAAATTCGTGGCAGGTGTTCGTGGAAATCTGAGTATTTTAAAACGACCAGCGAGTGGTCCAGAAGTTTGCTAACGCTCTGAGGGCCCCTTAAACGCATAATCCGCCAATGGACAAACATGCTCCAAGAATAGATAATCGATTGGTAGTATTAGTAAGGCAATTATACCTTGTACTGCGCGAAGTCGAGACTACGGGTAAAGGGGATATCGCTGGTTGGTTCGTGGCCATAGTTGTCGGCCAATTTGCTAATGAGCCTCTGTTCTAATCCGGACAGTATTCGGAACGTCATTATTCCGCCGACAGCGGCGGTGACCAATTCCGTGACGATCAGAGCGACCAGCATGCTCATGTACTGAACAAATAACATCCACGTTATTTAAATTCCGCGTCTGTAGGGAAAGAATTTACTTACGGTAGCCAGAATGCATTGATTTCCACGCGACGCGGCTCGACATCCGAAGAAACCGACTGCAAACACCGTGGAGCCAAGACCGAGTAAACTGTAAGCTATTAGGTTAATAGTCACGTGCGGCGTGGCGTCAGGTACGAAAAGATTTAAGAGGTGGCCTTTGCTCGGCTCCAACAGCAACCATGCCCCTATAACGAGTACCGTACACCCGGCCAACTATCCAACAATTTTTTTCATATCACTTTTAATGAAACATGGCACGGGACAAAATGATACCGCACCTCGTATAATTATGTAAACATTAGATTTATTAATTCATACGAGATACGAAACACACTACATAAGAAGCGTTCTGTACAGATTCCTCTATTATAACTACAATCCTATCGAAGACTATCTTCTAGAAATTATGATACACTCTGTTAGATTAATACTTAGACCGTTATATTGTTTATCATTCGTAAAGTATTACCGCACACGATTTATTAACTCATCGAGAGTGAACATTTAAATAGAAGAAATATTGTAAAAAATCGTGTCTAATACGATGGGTAAAATTTAGAATTTGAATTTAAATAAAAATTGAAACTGTACAATTGCGAAGGAATCTACAATTTGGCAACCTAAAGGAATTTGTGCAGGATCAGCTTGACAGCCAACGCGTTAATTCCGTTTTAAAGTTATAACGAGTCTCGTGTTCCGACAACTCGTGTTCGTTTGTCTTCGCAAGAAGTAAGATTTATTAGATCTTCGGGCCCTCGGTTTTACCAATGATGCTGTTGGAAGTTTCTAGAGTATAAACTGTGCTTTTCGCGAAAGGCGTTCCATTGTTTGTAATTTGCTCCGCCAAGAGGTCTTGTGACACAGTATACTGGCGAGAGTCCTGCAGTTCTTATCAAATTACTGATCGTATCATTTTTATCGGACTGTACGAATGGCTCTTAGTACGTTTATTTGTAAGAGAAAATAGAATTCAATGTTAGAATACAAGGTGGTTATCATTTTGCCCCGTTCTATAAATTCAAAATATATAAAATTATTCAGATTATTTTAATTTCAAGATACATGTAACAATTCATGGAATTACACTGTGATTATTAAAATTATTATAAGACAAAGTGTTCGTGTCTATAGAGAGACTCTTATCTCAGTTACATGTAGTGTTACCGAATTTTCTATGGCCAATATAATTTCTTCGTATTTTAAGAAATATACGTTTAACACTAGATTTACGGAAGTCGACAATTTGACGTATGTCTGATTTCATATATTTGAAATTGCAGAACACGTAAATATTATTTTTTAACAAATTATGTTGGATTTGATTGATGCACTGGCATGAATAGATATTCTAATTAAAAGAAAAATCGTATTGTAAGGTAATCGTCAACATGAAAGGTATCAATAAATATACGTGCTATCAATGCCCGTAAATCTAGTGTTAAGTTTCCAAATTCTTCTTTCAAATAAATATCTGAGCTTTCTATAAACTGAACGTTCAAGGTATTAAAAGGGGTTCAGGATTTAGACGATTTATAATATTCGAACCAAAAACTGATTAGTTTAAAAGCTACGTTTTTGTTTTAATGTCATATCCTGTGTTAACTCTATCAGAGAACGAATTGAATTTTCGGCTTTGACAATGGTACAACCGACCTGTTTGTTTTCTGTTCGTCGTATGCAACGCGTAAATAAATAATTACCATAATTTTACTTTGATGTCCGCAGAGGGTGTTTCGAGCATCCTCCTTCCAGTTCCACAAACATGCTTTACATTTTCGTATTAACCACTTAACCGTCGCGCCTGAGTTAATTCGAGCAATATAGTCGTTGGGCAAACAAACGATAGCATGCTCAGTAACCGTGCTAATATAGAAAAATTTAAAAATTAAACCGACTATTCCAGAAAAATATAATTACGTTTACTTCGTAACTAATAATAACATTAATTATATTTATGATAGCGAAATGTTTATCCTGAACCCTTTTTTAAAACCACAGTGCATAATAACATACACGTTCCTATGTTTAAAGATTGAATTTAATTTTTAAATAATAAATCCAAACTGAAATTCAGGACGACACTCAATTATGAACTAAGTAATTTGCTTTTTTAATCGAATGTTTAATACTTTACCCATATTAACAAGTTGAACGTGAACAGAACAACTTTCAAATATTTCATGCCGATTCGTTTCAAGACATCAAATAGTCATCGATCTGCAAACATAACGTCACTCGTTTCAATTGCTCCGACCTCCATACCACTCCAATTTGTTGCGGCGTTTAAACACAAAAACGCGAACGTTTCAGCGCGAAAATGAAACTCGTCTCGCTCGATAATTCCGAATATTAAAACGCTGGGAATTTACACGCGCAAATTGGACGCTGTTTAATTCTTTAACATTTAACGAAACGCAAGGCGTTCGTGTCGCAGTCGCGTCAAGCTTTCAACCACCGTTTTTACACGAAATTAAAAAATTTTGTTTTATGCTCCGGTTCGTGTCAGTGACGTTACTTTCAATTTTTATAACGCAAATAAATATTCACCGACGACGCCATTGAAATGGCCATTGTTGGTTCAACGAACACGAAAACGAGAATCGTTGGAATCGTCGAAATAAAAGCTGCGGCGCGTAGAACGTTTTAATTCGCTTGGAAAAAAGTCAGATTCGCGAGGTACCTCGCAGAAGAAAGCACGAATTAAAAAAGTAGTACGTGCAATTTATATCCAACGAAATAAAAAGAGAAAGCGGAGTGAGATCACTATTCAATCGCAGTGGTTTTTAACGGTTTTCTTTTACTTGAATGAGACTTATGAATTCCATTCTCGAAAGGGTTTAAAACCTTAGTTAAATCGACGTTTTTTAAGCCCATCATTCTACTAAAATTTTTCGAGAAATGTTCCGCTAAATATGAAAGGTGTAATTTTTAGAAAGAATTTAGAAGGGAATTAATCGGTGGACGAATTTCTCCAGCGATGTAACGGAATAATCGAGTATAAAAAATATTAATTTCAGCAGTGAGAGTTTGTAACCCGACGATGACAAAGAACGGATCAACTCATTTAAGCGAGATCATCGTCAAAACTAAGCCGATTGAAGAAAGCCTTTAGAATCCCCGTTTCACTCAGGGGATGCAATTATAACTGGAAGGTGGACATTGTGCGCTCACAAAGGGGCTCAGAAATTTCTGCGAAGCGAATACGACGCGACATGGTAATGTACGAACATCGTGGTAACCCTTGTGACGATCACCGAATGTTTACTAATGCTCCATAACCTCAAACATTCTATTTAAATAAATCAAATATACTTCGATGATTTCTTTTTTCTCCCCTAATCTTTTCATAAGGATATAATCTTATTATTGGTGGTAGAATGTCATCGTCATCCCCAAAATTCTCATCTGTTCCTAGTTGAACAATCTGTCTCGTTTACATGTTAAGAATATTACAAAATAAGCATTATTCTTGCCAAATGAAAATTCTTGGATTTTGTAAATACCTCACCAGTGAAATATTTTATACCACCCTTAATGGCAATTGAATTCAAATTTTCATTTATATTCATTTCTAATTAGAATTAAATTTGAGTTGGCCAGTGTTTTTAGTAGAATGTCATCGTCATCCCCAAAATCCTCATCTGTTTCTAGTTGAACAATCTGTTTCGTTTACATGTTAAGAATATTACAAAATAAGCATTATTCTTGCCAAATAAAAATTCTTGGATTTTGTAAATACCTCACCAGTGAAATATTTTATACCATACTTAAAGGCAATTGAATTCAAATTTTTATTTATATTCATTTTCAATCAGAATTAAATTTGAGTCGGCCAGTGTTTTTAGTAGAATATCATCGTCATCCCCAAAATCCTCATCTGTTCCTAGTTGAACAATCTGTCACGTTTACATGTCAAGAATATTACAAAATAAGCATTATTCTTGCCAAATGAAAATTCTTAGATTTTGTAAACACCTCACCAGTGAAATATTTTGTATCATACTTAATGGCAATTGAATTCAAATTTTCATTTATATTCATTTTCAATTACAATAAGATACAACTAGCTCAGAATAAAAATACTGCCTAATGGCAAGGGAAATAATATTCGTATCGATAAAAACAAATTGATTCGTTGCAACGAAGAAACGAGGAACGTCGAAAAAAAAACGATGCAAGAAAAGGAAACGTTTCATCGATGTTCCAACGATTTTTCCACGTAATTAGCAACCGAAAGTATGCTAAACAGACTACAATGCCTGGTGCTTGTACCACTGGAACGAGATGCAAGTGGAAAAAAGAAAGTGTTCTCGATCAAAAGATAGGTTCGCTTGGTTTTATTTATCACCCATTACATAAAACGCGATAAAAATCTTCTAACTTTCTATTTGTAGCTATTTTTAAGAACATAATTGAGATATTCGATAACTTGGCAAGGAAAACTTACCTTCACTTTTTATGACGTAAACACTAATTTACACAAAAGTGAATCTTCCTTGTTACGATAGTTCATTTAAAATAATTGATTAAAGTTACGTACACCTGTTTTAATTGTATAAAATTGGAAGAAAAAGGAATTCACGTCTGGTGTTTGTGAAATAAGTTTAAGAGAAAAGTGGGAACAATGTTTTGATAATTTAAAGACGATTAATTTTTAAAGAAACTTTTTCCACTGCATGAACGTTCGTGTAGAACAATAAAATACAACAGAGGTAAATATTGTCTCTTTGATGTTATAAAATGCACAGTAAAAAGAATACTGTTCAGTAAAATACCGTGTTCCAGTTTCCCCGTACCTTTTAACCAACCAATGACTTGTTAATCGTAAAAACACAGAAAGGGTCGGTCTGCTACTTAAAAAACGGATAATTGTAGGCCACTAGTGACCATGCGGTCGTACCCCGATAATGAAGTGATCATCCTCGTTTTATATCCCTTCAATAAAGGTATAGAAATTTTATCATCCGAGAGGTAATAGAACTCCGCGTAAAACCGAATATGGTTCTGTAGATTGTTCTATAAATTCATTCCTGGAACTCCGGAAGTGACCTCGTAGCGTGACATCCGCGTCCAGCAGCAATCGACATTTATCCCAGTAATTTTACAAAATTCGAAAAAATATATATGCAGTCTTGTCACGTTCTACATATTGACAAATACTGATAAAAAATTCCATTTTTAATTGCAGCGGTTTGTGCAATTTTACAGAAGTTTCGACCGTGTCGTGTTATTTTTCATGGAAAACCGTGCAACGAAACCAAAACTTTGAAGGGTAATTTCACCCCCCAAGGATGAATTTTTGTCGCTAAAAAAATATGTGTACAACATTTTTTAGCATTTCTTGTTGGTTAAATTTTCGTTCACGTTTGTACGAGTTTATATTTCACGAAAAATATCGAGGATAAATAATCCCTGTGGTAATATTTCGATTACGGTTCTTGAAATTAGCTACAATCGCAAAGTCTATGGAATTTTAAATAACGCGAGATAAATAAAATTTAGTGAATTATTCTGTGTATCAGGATTATCCTGTCAAAAGGTAAAACTCTTCGTTATACGTGAATAGAAATAAAATGTTATATTCCGTATAATTTAATTAATAAATCTCTGTATTACTCTATTTATAACCCAGATTTCTTTACGCGGGTACTCAATTATCGGACAAACTTATAAATATATTTAAAGTCCACTCGAAAGTCTCACGAAAACGTAAATCGATAGAAAGTTCTCGAAACTATCGGAAGATATCGTAAGATTTTAAACGATTTATAAAAGAGATTACCACGATGCCCAAGTCGATGACATAAGCAGATAGATGCATGGTACCAATTGATACGTTAATAATGTGGAGACTACATCCGTGGAAACTGATCAAGATCAAAGGCTGCAGTATAACCCTCGTATCGACGCGAGCAGGGTAGATGCCTGCGTTCGGGAACGGTAAGTCCAAAGTTAAACGATCCCAGCTAAATTTTTATTAATTAATTCTAACGAGCACGTACGCGAAAGTTAATCAATGCTACTTACGTATACGCCGCGTTAATTACAACGCAGCTGAGGAAACCGCGTTCAACGGTAAATAAACGTTAGTTATTTTTGACATGGGGGAGGGTGGAAATAGAACGATTCGAGTCAGAAATAAAATTTCCATCGGCGCTGGCGAACCCCCCTGCGTCATATTTTTCCCGCGACAGGTCGCGCCGAAAAACCGGGAGAGATTGCCCCAGAAACGGGACTCGTATTCAATGATCAGAAAAATATTCCGAATTTTACGACGCTATTATCGCGGAAATGCATTTCATCAGAGAAAAGTAGAATTTCTCGGAGCATTCTCTCCAAAGTGCAAAGCAAGGTTTGTCTGCACCCCGTAACTCGAGTTTCCCCACAAATACGTCTACGTGCTATATATTACTTGCCATATTACCAGAAACGTTCGCGTCAACAGGCTTCAGCAGCGACGCGGTCGTCGACGCGAGCCAATTCGACGCACACAAAAAAGAAAAGAACGAAAAAACGTAAAAGAAAATAGGAATGGGGGGAAAAAAAGGATTCGAGGATAGAAAAAAAACGACACTGGAGGGTCTCTACGGTCGCTCCTCTAAATCCATTCACAGGTGGTCATGGTTGCACATCCTTCCTCCTCGCCCAGGTATCCTGACGATTAAATTCAAACGCGTAAGAATCTCGAGCGTCACGGACACCACGATCGAAACTAACCGCTGTAAGTTTTTCCGGTTTCGTTACGGTACACCTCGAATAACAATTAGTTGCGTGCACGTGCCTATTCCCGTGGTTTTCTCGACTTTCGATAGGTCACCAAACGCCAGGAGAGGATCCTGCCGCGTACGATCGCGACGACACTGCCGAGGGTAAATGTTGGCAGCTCTAACGGTGCCTGCTTCGGGAGCGGCACGCTCTTTCTCTCTCTCTCTCTCTCTCTCTCTCTCTCGCTCTCTCGCTCTGTGCCCCCCTTTTCACTCAGCTTCCTCCCTTACGTCGTCCAGAGGCTGGTCCAGATGCGTCTGCGTCGCGTCGTGACGGCGCCGACGCTCTCTCGCCCTTCTAGTCGATCCTCGCTCGTTACCGAGACATCTCCTCGCCCGATCCACCTTTGTCCCTTCGAGAATGGACGTCCACTGTTCGACCACCGACCGATTGACCAGCCTTTGCACCCGCCGACGGGCTCGAGTGGTAATTAGACCGATAGCGCGACCGGATCCAACGAAACGGAGGAAATTAGTCGAGAGCGACCGTGCCTCGCGTACGGGGTTGTTTCGCGTCGCGCGACTTACCACGCGAGAATTGATCGTTTCGCTGCCGGAGACTCGACGATGGGATCGAGGAACCTTTCTATTAGGTCGACCCATAAATTCGTGTACGTCGTCCTCCTCGAACTATGGTGATGAAATTTATAATTTACAACGAACGATCTCCGACACCTGGAAATTCGAAAAATTTGTATACAGGGTGAGGCACGAACTAGTCCCCACGACTTTTCAGCCCCTATTGAAGTCAATCAGTATTTAAAATAATTATTTTGTTCGATATATTTCTAGGTGAAAAATGAAAAGAATAGAATTTTTTTTTTATTTTAATTGCTTAGAAAATTGAGGAATCGTTTACTACCGATCCAGTTTGAAGAACATTGATCTGGAAATTTTGTTTTTATCATTAAATAGAAAATGGTTGTTCCAATTTCCATCTCTCAAAGTGAATTTCCACAGCTAAGAAAAAACCTTGCTCAATATCTATACAAAAAAATATCTAGTTCCATTTAAAAATATAACAGTAACCTTAATTTTGTATCTGTAATTTCTGGTTGATTGAATATTGATTAACTTCGATACGAAATTACTGAAAAATTGTGGAAATTAGTTCGTGCGTCACCCTATATAGATATCGAGCAAGGTTGTTTCTTTGCTGTGAAAATTCATTTTAAAGGGTGGAAATTGGAATATACCATTTTTTATTTTATGATAAAAACAAAATTTCTAGATCAATATTCTTCAAGCTGGATTGATAGTAAATGATTGCTTAATTTTCTAGGCAATTAAAATAAAAAAGATTCTGTTTTTTTTTTTATTTTTCGCCTGAAAATATATTGAACAAAATAATTGCGTTACCGATTTTTAGTGGACAGATTTGAAAATATACACGCGCTAGGAAACAGTTTCTCTGGTAAAACAAACAAAGCTGCAATGCAAAAAATTGAGCCCCGAACTTATGGGACGATCTAATATTTGAAAAATTCATGTAGCTACAGTGGGAGATCTCGGTTATCCAGAGACTTCTGTTTACCAATAGCAAACACTTGTACGTACCTTATGATTCTCTTCTATTTCTACAGAATTTCTTCTTCGGTTATTTGCTTCGGAGTTGAAACAAATTTTATTCGAAAATGACTAATAAAAATGTTAATTATAATTTACGAATAAATCTAAAGTCCTTTGTACGTTATTTACAAATAAAATTTGACCAACTCCGATTATTGCTATATTCAAATAAACAAACGGAAAAAATTCCTGTAAAAACTGGGACGATCGGTTGATAGAAAAACCAGAAAAAATGGGATTCAGCAGATCCTATCGCTAGAATAAAACGTACAAAAATTGAACGATCGAGATATAAAAATGGCGTAGAAACTGAAACCGCATAAAAGCATCGCGATTTTATAAAATTAATACCTTCATACACTTAGCAGATCCTCAACACGGAGTCCATAAAATTAAGAATAAAGTAGAATTCGTCATTTCCGAGCACGCTATAACTTAATTCGAGCTTTAAAGTAATTTAATTTTCGACCAAGATGGAGCTCTGGTACATCTCGGTAATAAATGTCGTCGTCTCGGTGAATAATCAATATGGTTGCTGGATTGATCGCGATGGTAAACTAGCTCGAATAACGCGATCCTCAACCTTAACAACGACGAATTTTAATGACGTCGTAATATTAATATTCAAAATTTATTTGTTCGTACAAAAAAGTGTTAAAAACACATACGAGACTCGGTAACATTAACGACATTTCATTCGAGGTAAAATTTTTGTTATTGACTGAATACGTCACTGGTGATTTACATACATATATATAAAATACCAGAGGAAAATTCCATTGTTAAAGCTATGTCAGAAGTCGTTGAAATGCATAATACGTGTGATATGAATTGAAGCAGCCTGCGGCGATGCTTAATTTAACGCGCAAATTGTTCAATGTACGTCGTCTCATCGAGGCTAACATTTTTTACACTAACTATTATACATGCAACGCTGGTGATTTATATATAAACCAGCAGAAGTTGTTCAATACATGTAATAACATGAAGCTACGTGTATCGAGTCGAAATAGAAATTGCTACCTTCATCGATTTTAATTGAACCGACGATTCCTATTTTCTCACTTAACCCTGTCTCTATAAAAATAATTGAAATATTATTTTTTACACGCCTTGCATCGTTTTAAAAATATAAAGAAACAAAGTGATATTATAAAAGCGAGGAATTACTGTAGTGAGATCGATCGAACCCTCTTAAGTATAATTATTTGCAATTAGTCCTTGACAGTTCAACGAGGATCGTGGATCTAGCAATTGTAGTGTAGGGTTGTTGTATATACAACCTGTTGAACAACGTTTCTATACTACTGTTGCAAATCATGTTATGGCTCGACGTATAATTTCGTCGTGTCTGTGGACTCTTCGAAATGTTGTGGTCAGTTCTTTCTGTAGAAACTGTACTTCAGTACGCGACGAATGACGTTATTGTAATAATTTCAACTGTTTATCAACACGGTTTAATTTAAGCAGCGATTCGAGCCAAGCAACTTCAATTTATTGTTCGATGAAATTCGATCGTTCTGCAGAAAATTCTAGAGAAAGAAACATTGGACATTTTAAATCCTTGTTGTAGACGGAAGATAAGTTTTACGTGTCCTCCAGGCAATGAACTAGGCGAGCCACAAAAATCAACAATTAAGAAGAAACTTTTTAACTGTGCAAAAGGTGGTGTTGATACAGTAATCGATTTTAAATTAATTGAAAGTCTGATTCGTTGTAAGATTTCTTTAACTTTATGTCGTATAGCTGTTTCTAGCTTCATAAAGTCTTATGAACTTTTCCCCGATTGATCCGTATCTGCAGGATTTTGCAATATCTTTAAAGTGGGACTGCTATACATGAGGTTATTAGGCCAAGTGGCGCACAATTGTGCAGAACGGTTGCTCTTCTGCAGGCGTTTTTGTTTAAGCGTTTCAAGGAATGCAAAACAGCACGCAATTAAAAAATTCAACATTACCGGGCACAATTCTATTTAGAAAATATTAAATAGAATAAAATCTACAAATCTGAGTCACATTTTTTTAATTTTCTCTATGCTTGTTTCGTTGTATTCTTATCAATAGAAAAATACTATTTGTTTTAAGATTCTTCTAAAATTCACGAATGCCTGAAACAAAAACAGAAACGTGTCATTATGTAAATATAATAGATTTATTAGGTATTAACAATTTTTACAGCATTCGTATCTCGGTCATCTTAAACAATACACAACTACGAGTGGATGTTAACGCTCTAGTCAACGGACTGGCGACACATACAGAATCCTGCATTATAATCTAACTAAAGTACGAATTATCAAATACCAGGCTCGACTTGTCGCGTAATTTTATAATAAATTTTAATTATTCGATTATCGTGTTAAGTACAATGTCTTTAGACTTACGGTTCCCATAGTCGGATCAAAAACAATTATCCGCTCGAAACGATTGGAAGATTATACTTATTCTATTTTCAAAAATACCTTTGCGTACCATTGGTTGTTTTCGATATCTTCCACGGGTCTAAAAATGTTCAAAAAACATTTTTGTTACGGATGAGCTACTCCACGCAATTTTTCGAATTTTACAGATTTTCGGATTCGTGAACGTGTAGCCAATTGAGTTTAATCCAACCACGATACTGTGCAAAGCTGAAAAGACGAGCGTCGTGTATTATTGGCTGGAGATTGGGCGGAGCATGTTTTCTTTCCAGCAGTGCACAATACTTTGACACGGTGAACGCGCTCGACTCGTTCTACGTTTAACAATACCATGTCCAATATCTTGACGTGTTTGAAAACAGTACGCTTTTCGATTAACCGTAAAGTGACCGCCGCGAAACGGTCGCTCTAGAACACAGTCCGTTGAATCACATTTTTCTACCAGCTCGATCGCCAGCTGTCGGCTGCAGTCGAATTTCCGAAGCCGCAAGAGAGAGAAAAAAAAAAAACAAAAAGGTATAAACGCCTACGTCCCGAACGAGAGGACGCGGAAAACTGATACGTGCATTGTTAAAGGATAGTTCTGCACCGACGCGGATACAAACAACGACGTGTATCATCGGTCGAATGTCGTTAAAAATAATAAAATAATATGAGCAACCGCACAGTTATAAATAGAACGATATTATTATACAATGGTTTTACGTAGGTTTTCTCATACATATACATATAATAAGTTTCACGGGCCGATGACGTTTATATAATACACACACAACATACAACATGTATACAAACATATCTGTTATAAATCTATAATTTTTTATCAATTCCTTACAGCTACGTTGGACGGGTACGTTGACTCGATTCTACGTTTCCTCGCGAATCTCGCGAAAAGAATGGACGTTAACGTTTTAAGAGAAAACAAGAGATATAAACACGTCGCGTAAAGAAATAAAATCGACGGACTATCGTGGTTACGCCATCGAGAATTGGGAGGGGGCAGAGGGGGGCAGAGGGGGCGGGCAATAAAATATTTCACACTATAGATACAATATAAAAGTCGCTTGATGGGGGGATATCGGTATCATAAATTAGGTCATTAAATTATATTTGACACCGTAACAAACAGTATTGCGTTGGAGCAAGACGCGTAAATCACGTTAAAAATCGTTGTCTTGTAAATCGATGGCGATTTCGTTGTACAGTCTGAGGACGAGAAAATAACGTTTCCCGCCTTTTTATCGAATCGGGCTTCCGTTACTACGAATATTATTTCTAATAGCGTTTGGCTTGCTGCACGAGCTGAGATTACTCGAATTTTCGAACATGCGTAATTCTTTTTTCTTTAACTTTGTTTTCGGTTAATACTCGAACAATTCCCAACTCTACGCGCAAAGACAAATACCTTTCGGGGCGTTGTTAGGACGGAGAAAGAAACGCGGGGGTTTTTGTTCGTCGCTCGTGGAAAATACTCGCGACCCCGTTTCTGACGCGACGAGCACGCGTGGCGTTGTATTCATCGGGACAAGTCGATTCAAAGTACGTCATGCGGAACAAATTTTGTAATTATTTAGAAATGCATTGGTATCTGTTCTCAGTTCTGTCAGTACGCGACTCGAGGGATAATCACTCGCGGGGGCGGTGCGATCCTCCGGTGAATAAACGTCTCTGCAAATTTGCAATAACTCCCGCTTATAAGAAACCAAATTGGGTCCGTTACTTTTCATATGTTTGGGAAAGGTAGGATTCCTTTTCTAGGGATACATTTTATATCACGGCAGGACTGAGCAGACTTTATTTCTAATCAGAATAAGAAATAACCATTTTAAAGGACGCTTCAGTCTTTTATGTTAACCCCTTAACGCACGATTTAATGTAATTTTTCAAACGCGTAGAAAAACGTGTAGTCAAAAAGAATAGATTTGGTTTACGAATACCTCGTGAATGGAAAAATGTGTTGATTTTAATATATTAAGACTTGATGTGTAGTCTCATGATTGTGAAACTTGACATCAAGAATTTGTGACGAGTAAGACTCGTTATTGTACGGCAAAGGGTTAATTTGGAAGAAGAATTTAGAAAATTAAACGTGTATTTCTTAAGGGGCCTTTCTACTTTGTAAGATTTAAAAAATCGAATTTTTTTGCTTTTTTTGCGTTTGCTTTTAGTATGTGGGTTCGAAAATATATCTACCAAATATTAAGTTGAAATTCGGAAAACTAACGAACTGGACGTGAAACTTTAAAGCTGCTTTTCTCGAAACTACATTTTTCGACACTGCGTAGACAATAACATGAAAACTATTCAAGATATCAACATCAAATTTATACAGTATCTTAAATAACTGGTCCCTCTATCGCATGAACTAGGATAATTGCGATATATGCAATACTTTTTCTTTTATTAACCAAAAAGCAGCCGAATATATGAAAATATTCAGTATTTTTTCGTAAAATAACTGTCATTTTGTCATTCTTTGTTTTTTTTGAAAATATCCTAATTCATGCGATAACCAAACTAATCTATATTGAGAATATCTTTGGTTTTTGGATTTCGGATAAATTGTTCGCAAAATATTACCTACGCAGTCGGGCAAAGTTCGTAAAAACTGTTGTTCGTTGATCCACAAAAACTGCGTAATCAATAGATATTATACGTTGCAAAAATTTGTAAATATAGTTAAATATATAATAAATATATCCACAAAACTCGAAATCTCTTTAATAGCCCGCAAAAAAAAGAAATCACAAAGAAACAAGTATTTTTCTTGCCTACAAAGTTGAATGGCCCCTTAATATACGAAGAAATTCAAAAGGAGTAATTTTATATATTTAGAATTGTCATTGTACGGCAAGGGATTAAACGACAAGCGCTTCGAATAATAAAATTATTTCACTGTTTGAAATAACAACCGAAAAATATCACACAATAGGTAAATATTCCCAGAAAAATACACTGATAAAAGTACGAATTTTAGTTTTCATTACCTCGAGAGTATCCAAACACTGCGCTCCCAGGGAAGTACCTAAAGTCGAACCTAAAAATTTTGACACACTCATGATTCTACCATTAATAAAAAAAAGGAGAATATTACAAGGTTTCAATATTCCTAAGAACCACTGCAGCAGTAGACGAAACAAAGTGACGATTTTCTGTTTCATCTACGCGGGTAGAACCGGTTGCTTACAAGCGGGAGGTCGCTTTCCCTCGACGTCGCGGCGCGCCGACCAATTCGAAAAGTCAATTCCACGTAAGAATTCCATCGCGAGTCACTGTAAAGTTTCTTCGTTATGGTACAACTCAACTTGATAAAACCGCCAACAGTTTCGCGGGTTGAGCATCAAACACCAACTCCGTATCCGCGGTTAGTTCTGTTTACAATTCCGTGGTGGTCTCCACCGGGCTCTGTTCGCCCAAGTACGTGAATCCGAGATGAGAGTAATCCTTCCTTTCTCTGAACGTCACGTTGTCGTTCGATGGACTGGGACTGAGCAGATCGCCGCCGCGGTTGTAAAGGGGGTTCAAGACCGGCGTCGCATCGTGATTGCTCAACGTATTTGCGTTGCTCGTGCTGTGGTTCTTTCTACCGAGGGTGGATCGTCGCAGGGAGTGGATGTTCGCGTCTCCGTGAGTCCCAACTATGCTGGAAGCACGCGCCGTGGTCGCCGCCTCCGAGCTCACCGGACTTTGTTGACCTTAACAAACGACAAACGCGACTGTGAATCTTTCGACCCTTTCCACCGAAGTCGTTTCACGGGCGAAACGAGATTCGAAAACTCCGGGAATTCTGCCGTAATTAATTAGGTTCGATAACGGTTCTATGGGGGGAAGTCAACAGTAAACTGTCCAAAGTAATTTTAAGTAGAGTGTTTTCGAGGTAGGAGAAATCTCTTCCTATCAAATAAGGATCACCAACAACGATTCCGGTGCTCTAGCAAAATTTTCACCCTTAAAATACACCCTTGTTTACGTATTCCTCACGATGGCTATTACCAAAGTTCAAAATTACTGTTTCAGGAGACATTCTTCGGGGTGTAGTGCGTAATATTTAAAATTAGGTGTTGCAAGTGCCATTCGCAACACACGATTCGTTGGGAATAAATAAGTGGAACTACAAACTCGTTGCACGTGGAATGGGTAAAGAAGTTTCGCTGGAATAACTTTCGGTACACCCTGATAAGAGGGAGAATAGCTGGCGCAGGAATTCGCCTTGAACATGTGCTTGGGTCTCTTGTTATTACATCAACCATTTGTTCTCGTTTATGAAAAGGATACTTGGAGGGAGCATTTGAATTTCTACTGAAATCAGTCGATGCGTGAAAGTTTGCCGGAGAAATATGTTAATCTGTCGCCTTGGTATTCGACTCACGAGAATTCGAAACAAAATCAAACGAAAAAGTTAGTTACCATTATTCTTTGCTAAGTAACTGCTAGGTGACGTTGAATTCCTCCAGCTGCTTTTAACCCTTTGCACTCGGAGATTTTGTCCTATATAATCACTTTAAAACAATAATATCGTTGTGTTTCTTTAGAAGGTACATCCAAATTCTTTGCTGGATATCCCTTCAGAGTGGACAGCCGAGTGCAAAGGGTTAAAATTTGTACTTCTGACCTCAATGTTTTAATTTATATTTTTTACTTATACTTGGAAAGGAGCCTTCAAAAGATAAACAATAAAAAAAAACTGTTAGGTTGAAATTGGCATCTGCAAAGACGCTGATACGTTAATAATGATAACAAAGTATTGTAATTACCAGTACTTTCTCCGTGATCTTTGGTAATGTAACTGACGTTGTCCAAGCTAAACGCGTGGTTCTTGTTGCTGAAATCAAGCTGTAGATCGTTGTAACTGTCGTTGTCGTCCACGGGTACGCTCATTTGAAGCACCTGCGTCTCGTATTCCTTCAGATTAGGTTCCACGTAGACGGGATCGTAACGAGGCACGACATACATACGCTGCATTCGTTCCTTATACGCCTTGTATCTGCGGAAAGAGTAATCACTCGGATATTATATTTGCATTAGATCAACAGTGTTCGCCTTGCACGGTCGCGCGGAAAACAGAGTACATAATTCCGTGGCTATGATGCATCGCGGCACTGTTAAATATTTCCAGAGATAACTACGCCCGGAAACCTTAATTCATTCTGATGGAAGTAATAAAGAGAACAATGAATTTGCATGGTACGCGATGCTACGAGCTCCAATGAAAATTCATGCTGATACTCGAAACTACGCTTCTTCTCGCGTAATAAATTTCGAAGTCACGTAAACAGTCTTTCGTCATTTTTTAATTTACGCGCGATCTACTAATGATTCTTCTAAATCCAATGCGGTCGGTCCACGTTATTAAAAATTCGAAATCGTTGAACGTCAGTTTTAAGAAATTGGGATTTAATTTTTCGCCTCGACTCTGTAACTATAGAGAATAAGAAAAAAGCTATTCGAACGATTGGAAAAATAATACCGCCTTTCGTTAAAAAATTCTAGAGGCCCCACTTTAAAAGGATTCGTTGCAAAAGATTAGCCCCATCATTTAATTACAAAGAAAAGTGAAGTCGATATTTTTATAGATTTCTGAGAAGACCAGCACTTTGTTTGGGCTAGGTAGTTTGTAGATCAACGACAAATTGTTACTGATATAATATCGAAACGTTCGATCGATGAAAAGTGTGTATATGTGCAATTTACCTGGACCAGGAGACGCAGATGTAGATGATGCCAGCGATGCCAAGGATCAATATGACACAGGCGATGATTATCAACGCGTACGGGAACACTTCGCCGCTGAAGGCGATGGCAGTTTGTGTACGCACAGGTTCAGGTGGCATCATGGGTGCGTGAATGTCTATGGCGTTCGCGCGAACCAACGTGGACACGTCGAAAGTGATGTTCGTCATTGCTGGCTTCTCTATGATCGACCTGAAACGCGATTCGTACAGTTCTCGTATTCGAGAACGTCGCGACAACGCCTTGCGTGAATCGCTGATTCGGAATTACGTAGCGAAAACGTTACGATAGTCCGCGATGACTATGAAATTTCCACGTTCCGTAACTCCTCAAAGTTGTTTACAAATTCAAGAATTAAAATATTACGGAACGGAGTCTACGTTAAGCAGAAAAAATGCCACGATCTTTATATTTTATATTTTTGTCAATATACATATAGTTTTAGATAAATTCAGGGCCATGAGAGCCTGATAGTTTTGTTCGTATATACTCCTGTGCATTGGTCTAGTAAACAATGAAAAAGTTCAAATTAAAGAATATCAAAACTAAAGCTATTTAAATTGAATGCAAATGGTTAAAACATGTCTAAAAAATAAGCTCTAAGGTATCTAAAATTTTTTTGTTTACGTCAGAATTAAAAATTTGCATTTTATTTGTACCAGAGTGAACGATCGAATTTTCGATTATGAAATTTACCTTAGAACGCGCGAGTTGTTCCTATCCAAAATGGCTTCCGTGTCCGGATCGACCGCGTAGAACCAAACGTCGGAGTCCTGGGGATACATTTCAACGGTGCCATTCCTGGTCAGATTCTTCCTGACGGCGATCCTATCGACGCCTATCAGAAGGTTGCTCTTTTCCTCGATGATACCAGCAATTTTATCGGCCTCCTTTTGCAACGCGTCGGGCGCCGCGTCTTGAACGACCAGGATCATCAGATTCTCTTCGCCAATTAAGTTCACGATAACTGGGGCGACGATCGAGTTAAAGTTGTCGGTGGAGTTAGGGTTGTCCCGGACGCGCACATCGAATTTGAATGGAAGCTCCGTCGGATCTATATTATCGAACGTCGCGGTCGTCCTAATTATTCCGGAAGAGCTGTCCATGGCGAAGTAATCCGATCCACGTCCGCCAAGGATTTTGTACTCCAGCTTCCCGTATTTCCCGTTGTCCTTGTCGTGGGCCTTCACTTGTATCACGGTGGATGCAAATTGCGCCGTTCGCGGGATCGCCGCGAAATAACGCCCCCTCGCCAACTTTTTACTGCCCTCCGGGAAGATGAACTCTGGTTTATTGTCGTTCACATCGAGCACTTGAATCTTCACCTGCAATCCGAAGATCGATCGAAACAAAAATTATATTCGAATCTAGTCGTTTTAGGGATCTAAGAAAAATCGATTTTGTTTTGATTAAAAACAGAAATTTTGAGATAGCCAGTTATTTTTAAGGAATCGTTGGAGCAGTTTAAGTATTTAAAAATCGTTTTGACTATCCTGTAAAAGTGAAACTTCTGTAATTATGTCACTTTTCCTGCGAGGACGCGATACAAAGAAATATTCAGTTTTTTGTATCTGCTCGTACCATTGTTGTGTTTCTCCCAGAATTCAAGAGACCGGACAGAGACTCTAGTTTGATCTTAATCTGGTAGGACTCGGTCGTTTCGTAGTCCAAAGCTCCTTTCTTCAGCCTCAGAGCGCAGTTCCTTTCTTCCGTCACGTTTGCTTCGAACAATCCGTTCTCGTTGCCGCTGTAGATCTCGCATTTCAGTGGCGTGGTGTCGTGTGCGTGACTATTAATGATCGTGATTATCTTGATGAGCGTGTTGTCGCCCGCGTCTTCGGGAACCTCGACGTTGTACGAATTTTCTGCGAAGCCCAGACCGATTTCTGGTGGAACCGTGGCGACGTGGCGGACGAAAATCGGCACCGTAGTCACGGACGATAGTTGAGGTTCTCCCATATCGTACGCACGCACGTCGACCTGAAACACCAACCAATTGGGCTAACACCAAACCTAACCACGACCGCTCGTATGACCGCTTTTAAAATTTCGTTTAGAATTTCTAATATACAATGTTATTTTAGCGCCATTTAACTTCTCGAGATTTCTTATAGTGTACGTACAATGAATTGTTCAATATTCATTTCTATTTTTATTGTTTGTTTTCTGAGAAAAATATGTAGCCTGTCTTGCCTACCACGATCGATCACCTGACCGGTTGAACGATTTATATTTTTTTGTAAAAAACCGAACAAAATTGGTATCAAATTTTAGTTAGCTTCCAATGTAAATAGGAAATATATAGCAAAGACGAAAGGAGAGAATCTTCAGTTTCCACTGTCTTAAACAGTCTAACAACGCGTATTAAAAATAGTTACACTTTACACACGTGCAGTTTCGAAACTACTAGTGTTTTATCCATACTTGAGCCATCGTTAGAAACGGTAAACCTTCCTCATTAAAATGGCTTTTGGTTTTTGTCGATCCGACTTTCCGTTTTCGAGATATCGTAATTTATATAAAGTAGCATTTTTCTCAATTCGACTATCTCTGTCTCCGTCTAATGCGTCGGACCTCCTTGTCGCACGTACGGGGTGCTGACCTACGCCGCGTACGTGACTGTCGTGACCTAGTTTACTATATACGCGCGCGAGATCAATGAACTCGCGCGAGCGCAACAACGAAACGTAAACAAACCCTATCTCCGAAACCAGCCACCGCATCGACGCGAAACTAAAATCGCTATATCTCCGGAACTAATAAAGCTATCGACTTGTTCAAAAACTCATTTTAAAGGGCATTTAATCCTCTATCCAATGACTATACCAGCTACTATAATTTATGCTGTCTTCTATGTTTATTTTGAAATTTTCTTTGACGCTACATACCTAGAGAAGTTTCAGCAATTCCTATTGATTATACGACTGGTGTACGATGAAACTGGATTACAAATTATTTATTTAATTGAAAATGAATTTAAATTTGTATACAGGATGTTTGTTAATTACTTTTTCTGGAACTAACTATGGTATCAAAAACAAAATTCGTTTTCAAGGGCGTTTTATCTTCTAACAAATGAAAATTAAGAAATTTCGACGTAGTCTGTGAATTTTCTGTATGAAGTTAAAGTACTAAGTATGCAGTACACATTTTCAGTAAAAGTATTGGTTATTAAAGAGAAAGATATAGAGATAAAATAGAGAGGATTGAGAGTTTGATGTCCTGGTAAATTTTGTTTGAATATTTTCGATAGTTTAAAAAAAAAAATTCATGAAAATCTCTTTTCAAAGCTGTTTGATTTAGTAATACCTGATACTCGGTGTCCGTTTCTTTTCGTAAATCGTCTCGTATTCTGAGCACACCGGTGTCCGGATCGATCACGAAGTATTTGCTGGCTATTCCGCGGCCGATAATTTCATATCTCACCTACGGACAGACAATAAGAATCGTTCTTCGGATCTTGAAGAGTTTTTTATCCGAGGAACGGAAGTACGCACTTGATTTCCAGGAGCCGTGCCATCGGAATCTGTTGCTATGAGATTGATGACCGTCGTGCCGATGGGAACGTCGTCGTCTAAAGTAATCGGACGTGGAACTGACGTGAACACCGGTGGAATGTCGTTAACGTCCTGGCGTAATAAGGAATCGTTATGTACCATTGTTCTTAGCTGAATAAAGGGTTATTGTTCACGACGATATTTGATAGTTTCGCGAATTAATTACTTCCCTGGATTTCGTTATTAATTCGTTAACGAGACCGAGCAGTTACAAATCTGTCGATTTCACTTTATGCGACGTTAAATTGGAAAATACAGAAACGCGTTCGACCCATTTCCTTTCAGAAATTAACGAGAACGATCTTTTCGTATTTACTTCCGCAATATCCAATTTCTCAACAAGTTTAAATAAATAACACCAATACCCTTCTATTTGAAACAAATCCAAGCTTTTCGTTTTAAATTATCTGTTAATACCTGAACGTTGACCACGACTCTGGTGGTGGAACCAGGTAAATCGCTTGTGTTCTCCACGGTACCAACGATCAGAATATGCTGGCTCTCTCTCTCGTAGTCCAAACCACGAATAGTTTTTATCACGCCAGTCTTTGGATCTATGCCAAACAGTTCCGTATCGCCTTGTTTGATCATGTATGTGATTTGCTTCTTCGTGTCCGGATCGTCGGCCTAAACACAGAATTTACGATGTTCTTTGGACGACAAATATGGACTACAAATTGCGATTCAACTATGCTTTCCTCGTACAGAATTCTATGCAGGGTTGTCCCAGTAATTATAATTTGTTCGTACGACGAGTACAATAGACTAAAAATATTTTTTAATAGAATTATCATTCACTTCGAGTGACCTTTTTACTCTTCTGTTTACATTGACCAACAACGATAGGATTTATTTTTACTACAAATGTAACCACGGTTGCAAAGCCCAGAATTTTAACTTAAATTTTAAAAAATTCGTTCTCACCGTCACTTGAACAACGGTGTAATCCGGCATATTTTCCTTGACACGAGCCTCGTAGCTACTTTGATGGAAAACGGGAATCTCATCCTCGACATCCACGACTTTCACCGTCACGGTGGCAGTGGCTAGACGATAATCTGGAGCGCCGTCTCTCGCGGTAACCACGAATTTATATTCCTGTAAATCAGAATTTAATATCAACCGTAATTTACGAGACGCTTTTAAACTCAACTTGCATTTAACGACGCCCATAAAGAGCATCGCGAAGGACAAATTGTAGCGTTTATTAAACGCTCGCGATCTATAAAATGTTTTCGTTTAAATGCTTGTACTACACATACCTAAATAAAAAAAAAATAACAAATTTCCATCAAACTATTCTCGAAACTTACATCGTTTTGCTCGTAGTCTAACACTATTTTCGTAAGCACGTCTCCAGTTTCCGGGTCCACGGTGAACGGGATATCGTCCGGCGCGAAATACGTAATTTCGGCGTTGATGCCTTCGTCCGCGTCCTCTGCGTGCACACGACCGATCAATTTTCGCGCCTCTCCCTCTTTCACGGTGAACTCGTACGGCAAGTCGACGAATTCCGGATTTTTGTCGTTGATGTCAGTCACCTTGATGTTCACCGTTGCCGTACCGAACAGCCCCCCGGAATCCTCCGCCTTTATCAGCTATCGGAAGGAACAGTCGTCGCAGATAAGACGGCAAATTACCACGCAGCCAGTTAGCAGTAACGTCGATTGCTTTTTCTTGTAACGTGAATTTTTATCGTCGACGCTTAAACGAACTGCCTAGGAAAACTCACCAGCTGATAACGGGTCAGGTCCTCTCTGTCCAACTTCCTTATAACGGTAATGACGCCCGATTTATCGCCGATCGCGAACTGGCGCAGATCATTGCCAGAAACGATTGAGTACGAGACCGGGTCGTTCTCCGGATCGATCGCCTGGGAAAATGGACGCCAATAATTCAAGTTTATCACGTTGCGTGGGAAGGATTAACGACGACGAAAATTTAAGATCTGGACAACTACGCAAGCATCATTTGAAACGAGGACGATGAAACCTACATCGATTCTATATTTGAAAGAATTACTTTAGACCCGACAAAAATTTCTTCAAAATCTAATATATTGTGGAATAATATTTGTTTTAAATATTACTTCGTTTCTATTTGCAGTTTCGTGTTTCCATTTTTGTAAATCCCGAATATCGAACAAACTGAGAAATAAAGCTGTGAACGTTAAATGCCCGCTGGGAAAATATATGAATTGAACAGAATGCTACATCGAAGCTCCCTAACAGAGTTCGGAATATTTTAAAAATTCTAGGCAAACAGTTCGTAACGCGAAACTCTTTTTCGTTCGCGCGGAGAAATATCGAACATATTGACTTTTGTATTTATAAAAAAAAGAATTCTACTTTAGTTTACAGTAATTTCACTATATAGGTGGGAATTATGGAGTCGAATGGCCCTCGTGGCGTTCCACTAGCCATCTTCCGATATTAATTGCGTATACTTACAGTGATTGTTGCAACTGTGGAATTGATCGAGGCTCCCTCGCTGACCTGTACTTCGTACACCGATTGTTGAAACACAGGACTTCTGGTGTTGGGTCCGGGAATCACGTTCACCTCGACGATCGTTTGCGAATATTTCCCGCCTTTGTCCGTCGCTTGGACTGTAATACTGTACTGTTCGCCAGTGTTCAATTTCCTCACGGACTCGATCACGCCGGTGTGTGGATCGATTTTAAATTTAAGCAGCCCGTTGTTCGATACGTGGTAAATACTGTACGTTATTTCAGCGTTTTCTCCCTGGTCGTTGTCCGTTGCTTCCACCTAGTAGGTTCGAATGCAATTGAATCCTTTTGTGGCAAATTCAATATTCAAGTACGACTTTCTTCCCTCTCGCCGACAAAATAACAGTTCGATTTTCTTGATTATACAGTACCTAAAGTTTCAGTAATTCTAACGTCTTCAATGTAACCGAAAACACACGAACGTTAGAAAGTAGAGCGAAAGTTTCTCTTAATAATTACAATGTGCGCAAAGAATCGATGCATCGGGGAGTGCAGAGTGTCCCCATTGAGACTGCATAAACAAGTGGTAAAAAGTTTGCGAGGGCGTATATCACTGGATCCCCGTGACAAGAACCGAACGACTTCGAAATAGAGCAGTTTTTATCACTTTCGTTGGAATTTATTTCGACGTGCTCCTCTCTTTTAAAGTTAAGCTATACCCAACTACTCTCATAAATATAGCCGCAATTTCCCGGCGCGGTCGAGCAGAAATCGTAGTGAAACACGAAGAATTTAGTGGCGTGTATCTTTAGATCGTGCGCATCGTACGTAAAAATAAGAAGCTAAATTGATTCAATTACGCGAGAGCTTAACGAGAAAAATAGTTGGAATACGCGAGTCGCGACTGATTTTATTTATGGCCGGGGAACGATGTAAAGGCGCTCGTTTTCTTTCTAGTTATAATCCGCGCGTAATGTTATTCCGATTTTTCCCCGTCGTAACGGCGAGGAATTAATTATAATAAACGTTTGCCTACCTTCGTTACCACTCGTTTTGTTTCGCCGGCTTGGACAGTGATCGGTGCCGTCATAGGAAGCATAGGAGCGTTATCGTTAACGTCGTTTAAAGTCACAACGAACGACAATGGCGTGGACGCCGCGACACCCGTTTTCTCTCTGGCGACCACTTGAAAACGAAAACGACCAGGACTCGGAGGATCTCGATCCAAATTCTCCTCGTTCACGATCAACGCTCCGGAAGGATCGATCGCGAAGAAATTCGATGTCAGCTCGAACGTGTACGCTGGCTTTGGATCCTCCGGGCTCTGAACATTGTTATTAACATTAAATTCATTTTTATTTTGGATAAAATGCAAAGCATTATACTAGAACTATCAAAGCAGTCAAAATAACCCATTTCTAATAAAACTTGCAAGAAATATACTCGTCCGAATTTTTTCATTGCACAATTCTTCACTTCATCTGTTGTTTTAATTTCTTTGATATAAATGAATATATTATAATTGCCGATAGTTCTAACGTTAAAGTTAACATTTTCGAATTTTGTATTATACAACAAAGCAAAATTGAGTGATTCTCGTTGCTTCGACCGCCACGTTACCGTTACGCAGACCGATACTCTTCAACCAGATTTACGCAATCCCTCAATTTAATCTCATATTTTACACTCGAAGCCACGGAAGTCGTAAATATCGTTTGTTAGCAATTTATATAGAATTCTATCGACGTAATGATATCCCAATTAAAAGAAACGCTACGTAAAAACATTTACAAACCGAGGTTTGGCTAGAACCACGATGTTCTCTGGCAAAGAGATTGGACGGTAAACGATTTTGCGAATGAACACGTTTGGTATGAATGTCGTCGGGTTGTAATAGAGTTTCCGAAAATGTGTCCATTAGCGAGTGACCGGGACCAGGACGATTTCGCCATGCTGAGCGTACAATTCTAGCCCCGTAATTTCCGCAAAACGGTCCAAGCCTACGCGAAATGAAGCACATCGAGTACATGTTAATCCACTTGCGGATATTGGATATTTTCGTGAACACGTGGCACCGTGTCGCTGTGGTATCACTTGTCGGAAATTTTACGCCACCGTTAAACGCTTTCACGAGAGGACGCCGAAACGACTGCTTAACGTTACGCTGCTTCTGCAACACTAGTATTTCCCTGGTATTCGTACTAAAACTGTAATAGCGTCTCTAAAATTATTTTCTTCGAGTAAACTGACCAACGAAACGTTCAATTTATAAAACTTTATGTTATACTAAATAGCTGTGTTCTTAACAACCGTACTTTGTTTTTAATTTGATGTTGGAGAAACTTTTATATTTTTAATCAAAGTCGAAGCAGATATACGTTCAACGTTGGTTGTTCCAGCGTGAAATATTCGAGATTACAGAGGATCTTTTCAACATTGTCCTTTGAAATTAATTTTGAAAGTATTCGAAGGCACAAAATACATCGACTCGTAGAATGTTATAAACACTTGATAGAAATTTGTTTAGTGACTTTCTCGAGCATTTACATTTGAATATCATCAATAAATACCGAGCAAGAGGGGAGATATACGTTTCCCCGTTGGTCGGTTAATCTCCTCTTTCGCTAATTTTTCGCGTTCTTGTACCGCGTTCTACGTAACGGCCAAACAGGAGCTTCGTTCGCCAACAATGAGGTGAATTAAACGGCCGATTCGTATCTCGTTCACGGTTCGCTGAACGGTAGAAGATCAAGTTTAAAGATTAAACTTACCAAATCAGCGTCTGAAACGGTGAGTAGTATGGGGTCGCCATTTTTGTCGATAACCTTTGTACCGATCGGAGCGTTCTCGTCGACGAAACCTTCCACGTTCGACGCCGTTATAATTGGAGGATTGCTGTCGACTGGCTTCACGGTAATAGTCAATTTAGCTGTGGCCGATCGTTTCGCTTCAGATACCTCGACGGCCTTTCGTGAAATAAATAAAGCTTTGCAAAACTCTTATCGACTTTGATGCTCGACGCTGTTGCGCCTAGTTTCGACGATACCGCGCAAATACATCTAATTTCGATAATTAATTAATTACGTGCGACGCCCCAAATCGATTTCACCAACCAACTATGTTATTTTTGGTAAACCATACATTTTGAATGTATTCGTATCAATTATTATACAACGCAAATATTATTTCAAGAATTTGTTTATGTGTTAAGTTTAGTGACTCTGAACTTTCTATTATAGTGAAAACACTCACCTTAATGATAATATCGAACTTTTTCGTGACCGTCGTATCGACTGCTTTGATTTGCTTGACAGCGCCTGTACTCGGATTTATTTCGAAGAATTCGCGATAATTCGGCGGATTGCCGCTGAGAAACGAGTAATGAATGGGCGCGTTGATGCTGTCCATATCCACCGCTTGTATTTTCTCCGGCGATATATTGAGTATGCCGGATAATACTCCGCTGGATACCTGACGGAAAACAATTCGTAATGTATAGAACCAGTCCCACGTTTAGAACTGTGTCACGCGAGATTTAAGAGCGATGAAATCGGTCGCATATTAAGAACGATTGGACCGTTGTTTTTCGCTTTACAATGAACAATAACGTGTATTCGTGCGTACGATTTCCGCCAGTTAAGGGGCCATTATACCTTGTAGGCACGAAAAATACATGTTTCTTTGTGATTAAAGAGCGATTAATTCCGGGTTTTGTAGATACATTTAGCTATATTTACAAATTTTTGCAAAGCATAATATCTATTGATTACGCTGTTTTTGTTGATCAACAAACAACAGTTTTTACGAACGGCGACTGACTGCATATATGATATCTTGCGAACAAATTATCCGAAATCCAAAAACCAACGATATTCTTAATATAGATGAGTGTGGTTATAGCATGAACTATATATTCCATAGGATCTTTTCAAAAAAACAAAAAATGACAAAATGACAGTTATTTTACGTAAAAATACTGAATATTTTCATATATTCGGCTGTTTTTTGTTAATAAAAGAAAAAGTATAAGTATAAATTTCATGTTAATATCTTGAATAGTTTTTTTGTTATTACATACGCAGTACCGACAAATGTAGTTTCGAGAAAAACAGCTTTAAAGTTTCAGTTGTTATACCTTCGCGTGGTACATTTCAGCAGGCTTTAACTTCGTTAGTTTTCAGAATTTCAATTCAATATTTGGTAGATATATTTTCGAGACTACATACTAAAAGAAAATGGGGGAAAAACAAAAAAAGCCGATTTTTTTAATCCCACAAAGTAGAAAGGCAACTTAAAGTTTTGCGTCTCGTTATACCTGTGCGTGGTACATTTCAGCAGGCTATAACTTCGTTAGTTTTCCGAATTTCAATTTAATATTTGGTAGATATATTTTCGAGACTACAAACTAAAAGAAAATGAAAAAAAAACAAAAAAATTCGATTTTTTTAATTCCACAAAGTAGAAAGGCAATTTAAACTTTTGCGACCCGTTACACCTGCGCGTGGTACATTACAGCGGAGTTTATAACTTCGTTAGTTTTCTGAATTTCAATTTAATATTTGATAAATACATTTTCGAGACTACATACTAAATGAAAATGGAAAAAAATTCGATTTTTTAAATCATACAAAGTAGAAAGACCCTTTAAGCGAGAGTTCGCGCGAGTAACCGGTAATTATAAAGTAATTTAACGATTAAATTAATATACTCGAATCACAAATACCAAATAAATATACAAACCGACGCTGAATATTCCGGATTGATGCAGGCACCGTCCAAAAGCATGCAACCTTGATAGATGAAGGAAGGATCTTGATCATCGTCGTCCCTAATATTCACTGTCAAAGTAGTAGTGGACGTGAATCGATCGGACACGTTTCTGGCTCGATCCTGCAATCAAACAGTTTTTCGTATACATTTTCTGCGACTACTCCATTACGTCTGCTTCTATCAATTAAGAAAGCTGTATAATTAGCGTCTTAGTTGGAATCGCGATAATCAGTGCGATTGAAATATGTACTCTCCGTCCTGTTCCTTAGAATCTACCGGGGAGAAGAAATTATACATTACTTAGCCACAGGAAATCACGAAGAATAATTGCAAGAGCAAAAAATTATAATTCTATTAAATTTTATTTATTTTTCTTTCTTCGACTGTGATCGTAAATTAAATTCCAACATTCCAGTTTTTACTTTATCTCTTCGACATCGGAGAGTAAATTGTAGTTTGTGTAATTTAGTTAGATTATATAATTTTATCAACACTATTCCTTTACTGTCTCTCTATGAAAAATAATAAATTTTATTGGATTTTTTAAATATAGTTAATTGTGTCCATATTTATTTTCGTACATAGTTTCAACAAACTACTAATTAAAAAATATATAACTATTTAAAACAAGTAAGAATTCCTCAAAAACAAATAATTCTGCTTAAAGACAGTTTCAAATTATAATCCCCAAAAAATTTAGAATGTAATTTTATTTCGTGGATCGGACCAAACGGCGAAGTTTGAGAAATCCTGACCGAACGAATCAAAGTTTCGACGCTCATAATATTTTTTGATGCTCTCTAATATTTGCCGAAGCAAAGCACGGCCGTATATCGAATTTTAATGGAGGAGGGTGGAGCACGAGAGGGCATTTTTGACGTGATTATGAGTGGAACTCAAAGCCATCGTGACCCAGTGACGGCGTCGTTACCGCTTCAGGAGGACCTCTCTCTTTCACTGTGCCCCGTATTCTTTCTTCTTTCTCTTCTTTCGTAACAACGGGTGTGGCCCGTTTGCTCGTACCTACGATGCAATTTCGCTCTGATTCATCGAAAACGAGGAAAACGTCACTAGCGATTCCATCGATCGCACGTGTGGCCCTCGTAAGTTACCGGTTCCGGAGCCACCGGCGCTGGAATTCGTTACCAATTCGACCGTTATTGTCCTCGGGGCAATTTAAGACTCGTTGTTCTCTTATTTCGAACTTACGACGAGACGCGCGCCGTTCCTTGGCCGGTGACAATTTTAGGAGCCAAACTTTTGCGATTGGCTTAGGCAAGAACACGAAACGATCTCACATGGGATCCTTCAGGCATACGTTTGCTAGTTCGATAAAATAAAATAGGGCCAACCATTCTCTTTGATGCAAACAGGCTGCTTGCGTCCCTTATTTTGAACTTTTAACACGATTTTCAATCACCAGTTTCGAACAATCTATAAAAATATTCCTCAATTTTCCACGTTACTAAAATTGCTAAAATACACAATATTAAGCTTCGGGAAATCAATTTGCATTGTTTGTTTCATAAGACGTTACTCGCGGAAAAAGTCAAAGGTGAACTCGAAAGGTCAATTAATGCTGATAGTCGGTACGCGAAACGGTAATCAATTCTCGAGAAGAACAATAAACACGGAGATCTTCCATTGTTGTCCCCGTCTACTCAACATACATAAAGTCTGGAAAGTATAACAGACACGCGAACTTCGGTGAGTATATCTACATTCAAAACGCGTGATTTACATTCGAGAAGACTTATCTGCTACGTGGAACGGAGGACAATGCGTCTGAGAAGAAGTAGACCAGTTGTTCCACATAATATTCAAATGAGCCACACCTGTACCGCCAGCTGTTGCAGCCAGAACACCTTGATCTCGGTGGAAAGACCGATCACGGGTTCAAAGAGCCGCAGAGATTCACCGCGATGGCGTTTCGTTTCTGATTTATTCCTGAATTGAAACCGAAACCGGTACGGTATCATTGATTATGATACAACACATCGAAGGAAACTCGTTTTCCATTAGTGACCGCATGGAGGATGTATTTCTTACGTGTTTTCCAATCAAAAATGTAGACAACTTTGACTTCTCGTGTTCCCTTAATCTTTTACGTGACAGTTTCTGGCTTTATTCAGGGTTAAAATACATCCAGATTTTCAGTACATTCGTTAAACCATACAAGGTTAAACCATACAAGCATTGAAGCATACAAATAGTAAGAGATAATATAAAAAAGTGTAACAACGAAATGGAGATAAGGCGGAGACATTAGCGAACCGTGCAAGCAGTATAAATGTTTTGGAAGCACGTCTAACCCTTTCAGACTTGCTGTATATCGTAATATATGCGGATTTTAGCTCTTAACTACGGTCGTGTCGTCCCAGAGAACGCATTATTATTTCTTTCTCGCCCTCCGCGAAGTCATTTAACTATAACGTGCTTTTTAGTACCTCCCTAATTTTCAGTCCACGTTCTGTATGTAAAGCAAGCATTCCTTGCAACAACGATTCTCGTGTAATTCTCACGCGACTGTGCTAGCGTTGAACCACGGCCCATGAATACGATAAAATCTTATTACAATACTACAAATATAATCATAATATCGATGAGATTAATAATATATTTTTAACTTCGGCAGTTTGGTTAGTTTTGGAACTAATGGTCTATAATCCACAGTTTGCATTACTTAAGCAATTAAAACATTTAGGATAGAAGATTTTAAATGAATTCCACTTCGATGTCGTTTTCTAGCACGATAGTGGAAATACGTGGCTCTGGATTTTTCAAAGAAACGCGTGGGATCGCCGCCCTGGCTGCTTGCCCGGTACCCTAACGGTTTACTAGTTGGCCACGGTTTATGGTTTCTAGTGTGAAGTCGCTTAAATCGATGGTGCATTGCGCGCAATAAAATATTTCGACCAGCTTTCTTCGCAGAAAATAATTACAAGTCAACTTTTCTCACTAAAATCAGGCATCTCGCTATAGTTGCCATTTTCTATTGCTATACTACATTTATATTTCCATTAATTTATATATTTCACATTCGAGTAGCAATTTCAAATAACAAAACAATTTCGTGGAAACATTTCTGGCCAGGTATTATATTTTCGGTAATACATTTTTTTCTCGAAAGTGCGTAGGATTTCGGGGGTATGTCTATTCACCAAAAATAATTATAATTGACCCCTACAGCTAAAAATAATTTTTTCAGAACGATTCGAAAATTTTTTTTTTCGCCGAAAAATTTAGGCACCAACCCCCTGCCGATTTTTCTTAAAAATTCGTTTTTAATTTTTAGTCAATTTGTTTGACGCCGTACGGAAATATTGTTCAATACTTTTTTGTAGGTAACCGTGAGCACTACTTCAGAAAAAAATTTCATTGAAATATATTCAGTATTGTAGGAGATATGGTCATTTGAATATTGGACCACTTTCATGGGATATTTCTCATTTTACGCGATCAAGGAACAACTTTTCCAATATTTTTAGAATTCCTACATACTCTTTGCCAAAATACGCGTTGTTTGCCTTTTTAAACATTAAAATCCTCCAATCCGTTCAGAAGTTATGATATTTTAAAGATACGCATGTGAAACGATTTTTGGCCTCACATCATATTTTCGGGCAAGAATTTTTTTCTCGAAAACGCATAGGATTTCGGGGGTCTGCCTACTCAAAAAAATGATTGTAATTGACTCCTGCAATTAAAAATAATTTTTTTAGAACGATTTGAAATTTTTTAATTTTGCCGAAAAAAGCATCTGCTTGAATTTTGTTCTCGAAAGTGCGTTAGAATTCCAGGGTATGTCTATTCAACAAAAATGATTGTAATTGACTCCTGTAACTAAAAATAATTTTTTTAGAACGATTTGAAATTTTTTAATTTTGCCGAAAAATTTAAGCACCTGCACGAATTTTTTTCTTGAAAGTGCGTAAGAATTCCAGGGTATGTCTATTCAACAAAAATGATTGTAATTGACTCCTGCAACTAAAAATAATTTTTTTAGAACTATTATTAATTTTTTAATTTTGCCGAAAAATTTAAGCACTCTGTATTGATTTTTCTTAAAAATTTGTTTCCCATTTTTAATACATTTGTCTGTGATTATATAGGGTGTCCCAGCATCGGTGGTACAAGCGGGAAGAGGGTAATTTTAGATGAAAAAACAAATCGAAAATAAAGAATGAAATTTTTTCATTTGAGGTTTCGTTGTCAAGAAAATCAATTGTGAATTGATCTCGGTTCAAATAGCACCAATATCATTAGTATCAACATGATGTACTGTGTTACCTCTGTTTATGGATTTAAAGTAGATTTAAATGAAAATAAGGCATGTAATTTACTTATTAAACTAACTTAATGCATACAAAAATTGTTAAAAATGAGATTTGTATGAACTAATAGATTCTAATGTATTCTGTATCTTTAATTCTTCAGATGCCAAATAATTCTCGCTTGTATTTGAGGAGTGCATAAAATATTTTTCTTATACTCGTTTGTTTTAATATGACCCCATAGATACAAATCAAGGAGTGTTAAATATGGGGACCATGATTAGACAAAATTGAAGATAATAGCATACTAAGACAACAAATAAAATGATGATACGTGCTCAGGAAATCATGTCAACATGAGTGTACAGAAGTACAAAAAACATAATAAAAGCCTGTATCGACACATATTTATCTAACAATAAGCCACAGTGGATTTTCTGGACAATGAAATCTCAAATGAAATAATTTTATTCTTTATTTTCAATTTCTTTTTTCATGTAGAATCACCTCCTCTCCGGTTGTACCACCGATGCTGGGACACCCTGTATATCGTCAATGTCGCAGGTAAAAATAAACTTACCATCGCAACGACATCGCCAGCCACTGGACGTATCAGAGCTACAACCAGAAATATTTTCATCGCGTTAAAAAGTTCCATTGTTGGTCCCTGGTGTCTCATTCGGTACTATCCGTTCTTCCGCTTCTTTCTCTTGGTCGTGGGCATTATTTTCTTTAACCTTGGCAGCATACAGAGCCTAGCTCAACACCTATCCTATCGCTTGGGAAGGTGTCTCAAGAATCTCGCGGATTAGCGAGCGGTAAATGAACGAGACAGTAGGCGTGTTC